CATTTTTTTTTGAATGTCATTCTATATACTTTAATTCTATAACCTGAACAGCCATTTTGAAGATGACAATTTGTAACTTATCAACTGGCAATTTCTTACCTTTTGTTTGTCTGTAATTTAGAATTATTTCTACCCTTTTTTTTTAATTTCCATGTATTTTTTTTCGTTTCCTTTTCTTTAAATAAAAAAAAAAATAGAAAAAAAAAAAAAAGCTCCTCTTATAATTTTATGAGACTAAGTATTTAAAGTACTGATTTTTATTCTAGGTTTTTTCTTTTAGTGTGTAAAGTCTTTGCTCCAACATCCAGAAACCATCATAATTAGATTTCAGATTAAATTTATTTGGTAGCATTTAATATTATGAGCATAACCTTCTTTATTTTTTCCTTTGACTTCTGTGCCAATACTTGGTTTATCCTCCCAATTTGCAGCTCATATTATTTTTTCTCCCTTCACATGTTAGTCCCTGAGGTAATTTCCATTTTATTACCGTCCTTGCGAATTCTGTCCAAAGGACCTGATTGTCAAATGCTAATAAATTCAACATCTAATTCGTCCTTTGCACTGCAGCCTTCTGTTTCCATTTGTTTGACTTTATGAGGATCACATATTTAAACTCGTGTATAAAACAGTAAAACTGGGCATGGTGGTGTACATCTGTAATTCCCAGTACTTGGGAAGTTGATGCAAGATGATTACCATGAGTTCAAGGCCAGCCTAAGCTACATAGGTGAGACTCTGTCTCAAAAAATTTTTTTAAAGTATAAAATAGAATTCATCTTCTGTAGGTGTCTTTTCTTTCTAACTATCTGAGGCCGAAAATTTGATGATATATTGATGTATCTCTCCTTCACACTCTTGCCCTGGTTCAGTCCAGCTAATTTAAATAGTCATGACTATTCTACCATTTCATTCTTTTTTTTTTTTGTTTGTTTGTTTTTATTCCCACTGTCTTGGATTGTCAGTGGTGGAGAATCTTTTACGATACAAATAGCCCATTGCAGCATATGTGCCATAGGTTCACTTCTCATCACTTAACAGTGTGTACATAATTCCTCTGAAAGGTATATCTTCCTAATCTTGCTGTAGAGTTGTAAGAAAGGTCAATAAGGTTTGAAAGTATTCTTCAGCTTGAAAGCTATTTGACTCCACATTGAAGACTGAAAATTTGTACTTGAAAAAGTCTGGTGTTGGAGAACTAACGCAGGCGTTGATTCAAACATGTTGGGATGCCTGTCTGTTCAGAGTACTCTGCTTCTATTTTGCTTAAAATGAAGAGCTCCGGATCCAACCTTCTGTTCTGCTATATTCAGAGCAGCCCTACTTTTCTTTTACTTATCAGAATTCAGACTTTCTTAAAAGAATGCTGTTGGGCTGTTTAGCTCAGCAACAAAGCGCCTGCCTGGTAAGTGCAAGGTCCTGAGTTCAGTGTCTGGTACCAAAAACAAACAAATAGAAAAGAATGTTGTCGACTTTATAAAAAACCGTAACCATGTGTTTTAAACTTCATTTTTGCCACAGTGACATTTAATAAAAATTGAAAGTTCACTTTAGCTGGGACCTATAGGCTTGCTTCTGTTTTTCATAATCATTAATAACGGTAGAATACTGTAAGTTTGCAAAACTTAACAATTGCATATCAGAAACTTAAGTTTTTATTTATAAAACACTCATGATTAGAGTTATATGTTACGTGTGCATTTTTATGCTTAACTGGTCTTACTTTAGTGAGCATTAATATAATAAGAACATTATTTCAGAGGTAAGTGTTGTAGTCCATTATTTTTCCAGAATTATCTTTTAAAAATTAAGTTATGCTAAAATATGATTGTATACTTACTTTTTTCATTTAATGTATTATCTTGGAGATATTTTTCTTTTCCTTTGTCTTTTCATTTGTACTGAGGATTGAACCCAGGACCTTCATACTAAACCACACATCCCCAACCCTTCTAAAATTTTTTTATTTTGAGACAATGCTTCACTTAAGTTTCTGAGTTGCCCAGGCTGGGCTTGAATTTGTGGTACTCTTACCTCAGCCTTCCAGAGTGTTGGGATTATGGGCATGTGCCACTATGTGTGGCTTAGGAATATTTCTTAATGGAAATACAAAAATAATCTGTTTTTCTTAAATGACTGTATGATAGTCCATTATATGAACATACAGTGTTTAATCAATTCCTTGTAATGGATTGTTTGGTGGATTTTTTGGCAGTGAATACCTGTATGTATAATGCCCAAAGTTGAGTTTTAAGGCTCAGTTGATTGTGTAAAGAATACAGCAGTGATGATAAACCTATGGTACATTGTTGGGGTTCTGTAAGCAAAGGGAAAATAAAGGGTTGCACACACTACAGGTCAGCAAAATGGCTGCTGCCCGGCCAGCATAAGCAAACAGTTTTTGTTGAGATAAAGAATAAAGACACTCAAATTGCACATACTTAGGTTATATAACTTGTTTGCTTCTTGTCCTTATAGGACCTCATGTTTTTACCTTGGGGTGGGGGCAGTATTTCAAGGCCTGTACTTTTTCTCAAAACACTGTCGACCGGATATGTCTGGGACAAAATGGAATCGGTGTGGTTGCTCTACAGTACATGTGTCACAGTTGGCTGTTTGTATCATTGAAAGTTCTAAAAGGTTTGTCCCACTGGTAGAGAATAAAGATACAGTCTTTGATCTGTGCTCAGTTCTTTCAACGGCTTGTGTGACCACACACAAGTTAGATTGCTGTGTAGTGGTTTTTTGTTCAAGCCTTCCATTGCCATTTTACAAATGCCTTTAGAACCAGTCTTCTTATTGTGGCCCCCAAAACCCTACTTGACTTGTCTGCCTCACTGACCTAATTAGCCACCATTCTATCAATGTCTGTATTTTAGCTACTCTCTTGCTTTCGTTAATATACCTAAGGTCTGTGCATAGGAAATCTTTCCTCAAACATTTCTGAGGCTGACCTTTTTTTTCTGTCTCAAATTTAGATACTCTTTTGATTGTATTTGGCCATAATTTTTTGTGGTGTGTGTGTGTGTGTGTGTGTGTGTGTGTGTGTGTGGTTTTTTGAGACAGGGTCTCACTATGCAGTTCAAGCTTGCCTTGTGCTCACTTTGTAGGCTGATCTTGAACTCGCAGTGATCCTCCTGCCTCAGCCTCCCGAGTGCTGAGATTATAGGGAAGAGCGACCATGCCTGGCTATCACCATTATTTATTTTTTTGGTACTGGGGATTGAACTCACTACTTGGTGCTTGCAAGACAGATACTTATACCGCTGAGCTAAATCCCCAGACCTGTAATTTTTATAGTGTATTTAAATGAGCGTGTCTTCTAAAATAGAATATATACAAAGAAAACTTTGTTGCATTACTCATGGCAGACAACATGTCTTGACAGTTTAACTCCAAAGACAGTCTTATGGCACTTAGGAAGCACTCAGTATTCATACTGAATGGTCATTGATCTTTCTATTAAGACTTTCTAACTCCAGCATGGAGCTTTTCTATGATATTTTTTTGACCATGTATCTATGTTTCTTGTTTTGTTTTTTATGTACTTTCTTAGTAACATTAAGCTCTTTCATAAAATGGTTTCATCCTAAATTTTTTTTTTTTTTTTTTTTTTTTTGGTGACAGGGTCTCACTATGTAAAGGCACTACAGGCTGCCTTTGAAGTCAGTCTGTAGCCCAAACCTGCCTTGAACTACTTGTATTCCTCCTGCCTCAATCTCCTGAGTGCTGGGATTACAAGTATGTGCCAGTGTGCCTGGCCATACTATATAATTTTCTAATAGGAATCTATTTGCAGAAGAGTAAATTTCATTAAGCAACATTGTTATTTCAACACAACTATTAGGTAAACTTTGAATACTTTGGATGATATTCCAGGCATTGATAATGAAAAGGTAGCTGTTCTGGCCTGATAACTTTGGCAAAATTTGCCCCTTAGCCTCTCATAATTAATTATACTTTTGTTTTTTTAAATAATTTTAGTGGGTTTTTTTTTTGGTACCAGGGATTGAACTCACAACCTTGTGCTTGCCAGGTAGGCGCTTTTGCCGCTGAGCTAAATCCCCGGCATTAATTATAAAATTGACAACTCCTAAACTGAAATATTTCAGATTAACTGGAAACTACTTAATCTTGAGATTGGTTAGAAACCTAGATGTAGCAGCAGCCAAAAAGTCTCCTGCCATTTACCTAATGATGAAATTTTAAATAAGCATTTCCCTGTCTTTGGGGATTAACTAATAGATACCAAAACTTACTAAGATTTTTTTTCTTTGCAATACAGAAATTTTCAAACACCTGTAAGAATGCGAGGAGTGGAATCATTTATCTCTATAGTCTCAGTAATAAGCTACATTTGGCTATTCTTGTTTCTGTATCCCTGGTCATCATTTCCTCCCATTTTGAAGCAAATTAAATTGTTTCATCCATAAATTAAATTCTTTTTTTTCAGTACTAGGCATTAAACTAATGACCTCGAGCTTGCCAGATAGGTGTGCCACTGAGCTGTATCCCTGGCCAGAGATTAGATTCTTAACTTTTTATATTGCTATTGTAGTGAAATTGGTTTAAACTATATTTCTTAGTCATTGTCTAAATTTGTAGGATTGAGAAGATAATTCCCTATGTAGTTAAGTAGAACCCTTCTATTGTAACCCAAGAAAGGATAGCTTAGTACAGTGGTATCTCAGTTTATGTGGTTAATTTATTTTGTGATTTTGGTGCAGATGACTATTTGTGTGTGTGTGTGAGGAAAATGACTGGTCATGTTTGTCACACAAGTAACAACAGAGTATTGAATGAAAAATTTTACCTAACATTTGTTTACAAATAGAACAGCTCATGAACTGAGATATCATTATAGACTTAAAATTTGTTAAAAATTATCATCTGTAGGATTACTAAAGTCATCCAATTTAAAGCCACTGAGTGGTGCTTTTAACCAGTTGCGTGGATTGAAGTTGTTTCTTTTGTGTCCTTTTTTTTTTTTTTGTCTGTAGGAATCCTATGAAGATGGTTGTGAGGATTATCCCACTCTATCAGACTATGTTCAAGAGTTTTTGAATCATCTTACAGAGCAACCTGGCAGTTTTGAAACTGAAATTGAACAATTTGCAGAGACCCTGAATGGCTGGGTTACAACTGATGATGCTTTGCAAGAACTTGTGGAGCTCATCTACCAACAGGTAGGTTGGCTAATAGCATTGGATAGTGTCTTTGAATTCCAGAAATGATGGTTATTCCTTAAGAAAGGGCAGGTTCAGGGTCATCTATCTCCACACTTGGTAATTCTTCATGGTTTGTGGAAACCAGAGCCAACCTGGACTGCCATTTTGCCTGTGTGGCCATGGTTTTGTACAAGAAGTATTCACTGCTGTAGCCAAGATACTGCAAACATGGCAGTACTACAGGAGATTTGAACTGAATTTAGAAGAAGATTCCATAAACACATCTTTTTTTCCCTCTCCCTGTTTCATTGGATGTGAAACTAATACAAGAAAAAAAAAATGCAGTTAATTTTCTATGTATCAAATTATTATAGGAGCAATTATTATTCTGTGTGTAGTGTTTTTGGAGAAGGGGAGAAAAAAGTCATGAGAGAACATTTGTGCCTCATTGATGAGTAGGATTTGTTTTGTTTTTAAAGACTGCAAATGGATTGTCCTGAGTGTTAACATTTTTACTTGTCTGAACTTTCTCTTTAAAGATTTACATCTTAAATTTCTTAACTCCTTGAAAGTCAAGTTTTTTGTCATCTAGTGTTCAGTTTTCATGTGAATCTTGTGATCGCGGACGTGTTAATGCTATTTTAGGAGTGAAAGTATGCAGCAGACACAATACCAGCCTTTTAAGAAAAAAATTTTGTCATTGTAAGTCTGGCCAGAAATAGGACATGAACAGAATTATAAATTTGGTGTTAATTCATTTTTGAAAGAGCAACTCAAATTAAGAATATATGAAGAGGGGGCTGGGGATTTATTTAGCTCAGCGGCATAAGCACCTGCCTTGCAAGCAGGCGGTCGTGAGTTCAATCCCTGGTACCGATAAAAAAGAAAAAGACAAAAAAAAAGAATATATGAAGAGTGATCATAATAGCAAACTGATCATATCTTACGTTTCATTTGGCTGCTTTCCCAATTTACAGATTATTACTGGATCCCAAAGTTGCTTAGCCAACTGTTCGGTTTCAGGAAGTTTTAAGATAAAACTGCTTTGTCCTGATCCTTATTTTCTGCTTCTACATGAACTGAAAAGGAGTATGAGATAAGAAAATAGCTTCTTGATATTTTGATTTCTGTTTAGCTTCAACTGTTCAGTGGGATGCATAATCATAATTCAGAGGGCTGGGTGGATGGTCTGTAACCTGATCAATTGCAGGAGTCTCTCAAAGCCAATGCTACAGATATGCACTTAGCATATTTTAAGGTTTTAACACCTTTTTTTCATGGATATATTGGATCTGATATGCAGATTTAACCACAGCTTTTAAATCTTAACTAATTTACCATCTAACAGTAGAGGACCTATTATAAAAGATGACAAACTAAACATACACATTCGCATTTGATTGCACCTCAGATACCACTAAAGTGACAGTTTGGGATTTGTTTAAGGTAGGGACTCATAAGGACAAAGAAGATGGAAGAAGATAAAAGCCTAAGTTTTTTTTTTGTTGTTGTTTTTTTTTTTGTCTTTTTCATTTTTATTGGTACCGGGGATCGAACTCACGACCGCCTGCTTGCAAGGCAGGTGCTTATGCCGCTGAGCTAAATCCCCAGCCCCAAAAGCCTAGTTTTGAAGATTAGAAAGTAGATGAACATTTGATAACTGACTAGGTGAATCAAAAATTGAGTGCAGACCAGTGAGAAACACAGAACTATCACATTGATTTACAGTGCAGACTATCTAAAAAGGCTCTAGAAAAAAAAAGTTGAAATTGGGCCAAAAAGATTGCCCGAGAATGTTTAAAAAATTTTTTCTAGATCTTTTTGCACCCAGTAGCCAGTGTCACTGTAATTCTTAAAAGAGCAAAGGAGAGGTACTCTACCAAAAGGAGTAAACAGATAATTCTATAGGAGAGGCTAAGTAAATTGTCTAAATGATGGTGAAAGGTGATCTCAAGACAGTATTTATGTGGACAGCAGGTCTAGAGTAGGTAGCCAGGCTAGAACTGGAATAGATCAAAAGGCTCAAGGGGCTGGGGATTTAGCTCAGCAGCATAAGCACCTGCCTTGCAAGCAGGCGGTCGTGAGTTCGGTCCCCGGTACCGATAAAAACGAAAAAGACAAAAAAAAAAAAAAGGCTCAGCTGGATTTGACGATGACCTAGGATAAATTTTACACCCTAGCTAATGAATGTAGGAACAAATCAATGAAAAGTATAAAAAAGACAAAAAACCTGAGTAAGTCTAGGAAAAATAAAATCGTTTTAAAAAGGGAAGAACTGATCTATTACATGGCTCAAATGCCAATGAAAACACAACTAAAATCATGATAAAACCATATTGGTAGGTGGAAGAAAGGGAAGATAGTGAAATGGGGTGATTTGAGTAGGGCAAAAGTCCCATTTTTCCACAGTAGGAAACTAGTTAAATGCATTTAAATTGAAACATCATGTAGTGTGGAGAGAGAGGTGCTAAGACTTTTTCAGCTGAAAGAATTGGTAGTTATTGAATATAGGAGAAAATTAAGGTGCAGGTAAGAAAGTAGGAAACTTAAAGAATTAAGTCTTTGATAAACGTGCTAACTTCAAATAGAAACTAAAGTAAAACAGACATAATGGGGGTTTATAAGTTTACATTTCGTTTGTTAAGCATATGGTATTGGGAGAAACAGTCTTGCCTTTTTTGGTAATATGTACAGAGTCACATGTAATCAAGGAAATAATTACAAATAAAAGGTAAGATAATTATAAAGTACGTACATGACAGACAATGCTAAGTACTTAACATGTCGTTGGCTCATTTAATCCTCAGTGGTTGAAAGGTATTACTTGTAATCCCATTTTATACATATCTAAACAGAAATTTACCAAGGAAATCTGTCATGGAGGCTTTGATCTATTCCAGTTCTAGCCTGGCTACCTACTCTAGACCTGCTGTCCACACAAATACTGTCTTGAGATCACCTTTCACCATCATTTAGATAATTTACTTAGCCTCACCTATAGATTACCTGTTCACTCCTTTTGGTAGAGTACCTCCTTTGCTCTTTTAAGAATTACAATGACACTTCACACTGGCTACTGACCTAAGGTTACCACACCTGGTGAATTTACCCCATAGATAATCAAAGAGGCATGAGACCATTTGTTAGACCTAGATTCTACAATTGATTACCTTTAGGATATTGGCAAGCCGTAGCCATCTACTGTGCAGTATTACCTACTATTAATTGAAAAACTAGGTTTTCTACTGTTTTTTTTTAAAAACTTATAATTAAACTTCCTGAGTGCTGATTTGGCTACAACACACAATCTTTGATATGTAGTGTTTTCTTAGCCTTTTTAAAAAATAGCTTATCTGTTTTGATTTTCTCTTTACCCCAAGCATTTTTAGCTTGTTCTTTAAGTAGTAGTCCCTTGTGCCAGGTACAGTTAATCACTTCAGAAATCAAACTGAAGCTCAGGGAGGTGTAGCAATGTCCAAGCTCACAAAGCAGAATTCTTGGGTGTCTTATTGAAGGCTGCTTGACCTGTAAGTCAATCTGTGTTGTCCTGTACTACTAGTACTACTAGTCAGTAGTTTGGCAGCTGTCGTCTTCACTTATAATTACTGCTGCCATGCAGTTGGATACATGTCTATATTTTCAGGAGTAAAAAACAGCTAGTATCAAGACATCCAGTTGTTTTCTGGTAACCTCTGGTCAGTTGGGCAGTGGGGACAAGGGAAAACTTAACTGAAACATTTTTCTATGTACCTGTTGTTCTTGGTATAAAATTGGGAGAGAGTGTGAATTTAATTTCCTTATGCCTAAAAAAAGACCCATTTTCTTATACAATATGGTTACTTTTGGGAACTGAAGTGTTTTTGCCTCTTTAATATGTTGCTAAATGTTTGCATTAATAACTATATATATCATACAAAACTTTTCTTTTTAAAAGGCCACATCTATCCCAAATTTCTCTTACATGGGAGCTCGCCTGTGTAATTACCTGTCCCATCATCTGACAATTAGTCCACAGAGTGGCAACTTCCGCCAATTGCTACTTCAAAGGTCAGTGTGAATATGAAATTGAAGGAAAACTACTTTTAAACATTCTAAAATTTATTCAAGTTACAAAATCAAAGCATAAAAATGAACAGACAATAGAACAATAACAGTACAAACTATTCTGTTTGAACTATCAAAAACTTAGTAGTATGGTTATCTGTCTTGCACACTTAAACATATATTCAGTTACATGTGTATACCTGCAGATGTAATACGTTAACTAGTGATTTCTTAATGTTATTTTTTTCTTAATGTTATCTTTTTGTGAAATTCTGTGTGATTTCTACCCTTTTTTCTATTTGCTTTTTTCTTAAATTAAAAAATAAAACCAAAAAAACATACTAGCATTTGACCATTCCTCTCTTTAAAGATTGTGTATTGTGCTGGGGATTTAGCTCAGCGGCATAAGCGCCTTCCTTGCAAGTGTGTGGTCCTGAGTTTGATTCCTGGTACCGATAAAAACGAAAAAGACAAAAAAAAAAAAAAAAAAAAAAATTAGCAGGGCGTGGTGGCTCACACCTGTAATCCCAGCACTCGGGAGGCTGAGATGGGAGGATTGTTGCGAGTTCGAGACCAGCCTGGGCTGGTGAGCTCAAGGCCAGCCTGAACTGCATATCGAGACCCTGTCTCAAAAAAGACCAAAAAAAAAAAAAAATAGGGTGAATCATTTTTATTTGCATAATAAGTGGTTATAGTCATTCAAATCAGTTTTTTTCCCCCCTGGTATGGTCTCTGCTTTCGATTTTGTATTTAGAAAGCAGTTTTATAAGATCTCAAAAGTGCTCACTTGGAATACTTTTGAAATTTTGGTTTGAGGAAAGATGTAATTTCTTTAAAATATAAGTAAATTTTTTCCTGATTTGAACTACCACCTTCACTTTCCATTCTTAAATTTGGATTTTAAATCTGGACGTAGTTTTATAGTCTACTTACTACTTGATCTGTTCCTTCTATTAACATACAAAAACAAAAATCTCTAATATTTAAATATCTGGTCATTATTTTATTTATTTATTCGCACCGGATCTTCTTGTACAGGCCAGCCTTAAGCTCATTGTGTAGCCGGGCTGCCCTTGAACTCAAGAGCCTTTTTGCGTCAGTTTTCCTAAGTACTAGGATTATAGGTTTGCACCATACCCAGCTCTCCCATTCTTTTGTTTTTGTTTAGTTTTGTGTTTTTCCTGTGACAGGTTGTTGCTGTGAAGTTCAGGCTGGCCTTGAACCACTATGTAGCCTAGGCTGGCCTCACTCACTCATAGTGATCCTCTTGTCTCAGCTTCTCCAGTGTCCAGAGCTGGAATTATAGACATGTGCTTACACATCACTTTCTCCTTTTTTTTTTTTTTTTTTTTTGTAGTACCAGGGATTGAACTCACGACCTCACACTTGCCAGGCGGGCACTTATGCCACTGAGCTAAACACCCAGCCCTCTCCCATTCTTTTTGTGGTTATCTTCTTTCCATTATTTTTCTCCAGTGAATTCTAGAGTCAGTGTTTGAGTTACACAAACACTGTCAGTATCTGTTAAATATTTGAGGGAAGGTGTTAAATTCATAAGCTAATTCAGGGAAAGTAATTTTTATCATTTGAGTGGAGTTTCTTATAGTTTATGCGTCACTTTATTTTTCTGCTTTTTTTTGTCAAACAATACTGGGGTTTAAATGTAGGACCTTGCTTGTTGTGTGTTAGTCAAGTACTATATAAAGAGCTACCCTTTTTTTTTTTTGATTTACCTTTTTTATCCCTAGTCCTTTTTATTTTGAAATGGAGTGTTGATATGTTTCCCGGGCTATCCTCCAACTTGCAATCTTCCTGCCTCAACCTTGAAAAGTAGCTGGAATTACAGGCATGTATCACTGGGCCTAGCTTTCTGTTCTTTAAAGATACTTCTAATGAGGCTGGCAGTTTACAGGTCCAAGGGTTCAGTCTGTAGCACTGAAAAAAAAAAAAATTGAAGTTGGTACTTAAAATGCTGCTTAAAAGATGATTTGTGCTGTTCTGACAACTGGATCATTCACGAAAAAGATAGGTTTCTGTCTTACTCTTTACACCCAATTAAATTCCAGATACATCATCAAAGATTCAAGGTGAAACAATAAATATTGTACTAAGAGTGAAAACTGAAAAACAAAAATCTTGAGTTGGTAAAGCCCTTTCCAGTAAGAGATGATATCTGTGGGTCCTGAAAGAAGACATTTAACATATCAATTATAAATAGTTGGTAGAAGACATAAATTTTTACAAAATGAAAACAAGAAAATGTAGCTGGGGATTTAGCTCAGCGGGATAAGTGCCTGCCTGGCAAGCACGAGGTCATGAGTTCAATCCCTGGTACCAAAACGAAATTTATATCATATGGCAATGAGTTCATTCATATAATACTAAAAAAGAGACCTCTTAGGAATAAGTAAGAAAAAAAAAAAGTAAGAAAAAAAAACCAGTATTTTTTTTTTTTTAAAGAGAAAAGAATTTTCAAAATACTATATAATTAGGGGTAACTGGTGTATGCATTGCACATTGTTATCTTCAAATCAGTTATTCAGAGTATAAGACATCTGCATTTAGTCAAAACCAGTCTCTTAATAGAAATATTTTGATGCCTCTGGGATAAGTCCAGTTCAGAAAAATACAGATGATACTTTTTAAAAAAATTATCTATAATTAAAAAATGTGAATTACAGCTTCTGGACAAAAGTAGGTATTCCTAGGAGGCAGAATGCCAAAAAAGCTCCTTTCTTTCCTAGGGCTTCTCACCCTCATCTGTGCCTTGCTGTTGCATAGAGATTGAAAATAGGATTTAGACCTTGGAAACTGATGTACAGAAATTGATCAGTGGAGGCTGAGTTGTTGTTTGGTTTTTTTTTTTGAGAACCATTCTTCTGGTTTGCTTTGACTTTTTACCCTCTAATATATAGAAATGCTAATGATACAAGTGAACAATGCATGATCCTAACTCGTGGAGATATGTATACTTTGAAAAGACAGAATGAAGTTATATTATCTTTACAGCAGTTATCTCTTGGTTGTAGTGGTGCTGGGGCAACTTTGCTGTTTGTTTCTGTTTTTACTTTCTTGAAAAGAAAAAATACATTGCTTTTATAACTGAAAATGTGTGGCTTTAAAAGACTTAGAGGTCTTTCACCTGGATAATTAACCATGTACAAAGAGAAGGATTTACTTTTCAAAAACATTATGTCCTAATGTACAATGTAATGGTCTTAATATTTTAAAATAAAGAAGTGGTTCCATTGAAACACTAACTTGCAAAGCTGTAACAGAAAGGAAAGAAAATGGCCAATAAGATGCTCGGATAGCAGAGTTGGCAATAATTCACTGGTCTTTTCCATTATAAGCCAGGGTATTCTATGTATAAATACCCCAACTTTTTTCTAGTGGGAAGTTAATATGTATGAGAAGATAACAAATATTTTACATTTGATTCAAACAGAAGATGATATTTACATAACACAGCTCATGAATCAGCTGGATAAGCACTGTAAGCTGTGCTGGGGATTTGTGGTAGTTTCAGACTGATCCAGAGTGAATACTTGGGTAGTAGGTGATTTTCTTTGGTTTGTTAATTTATTTTTTTGGTACCAGGAATCGAATTCACAACCTCACACTTCCCAAGCAGGTGCTGTGCCACTGAGCTATATCCTCAACCCCTGGTTTTGTTAATTTTAAAAAAAAGAAAAGCAGACATAAACTGGCTTATATGGAAGCCATTTAGTCTTCTTAATCTCTTCCCTTTTGATCTTTAGAAGAATAACTATCAAAATCAGTTTTGCAAGAGAAATTTCTTAGTTTTCTTAACACTTTATCAATAAAGAAAAAAGTACTTAACTCTAAAATGAAAAATTTAAAAATCCATTTTAGTACTAGCCATAGCTGATTCTTATAATTCACTTATGAAGACAAAGACAAACTTCTTGTAATTAAATATAGGAAATGTGACTAAAAGCTCCAAAATGCTTTTTATGTTGTTACTGTGTGACACTAATGGGCCAAGTTAAAAGAAAATAAAGCAAGGTAAAATCAGTTATTTTGGTGCTTTAAGTTGCATTTGGAAATAATTACTTTATACAGTTAATTGCTTTGTACAATTAGGGAGTTTTTTCCTCACTAAAATGAAAAGTATAAGAATAATGAACTTAAAATTTTATTTTATATTCAAATTAGTTGGCTACTATATGCATACATTTTAAAGACCTATTCAAAGGTTCTGACATTGAAAAGAAAACTTCAGAGACAATTTGGGTAAAAAAGTGCTTAACCAAAACCCTGTAAGACAAAAGTGAGCCTCCATCCCAATTTTGGTGCTAGTATATATTCTATATACCTCTAGTATATATTCTATGTGGCTTAAACTTGAGCAAGCTTAATCTGATCATTTTAATTTTTTACTATTATTAGTTTCTTAAAACGGGGAGTCTTAGTATGAAAAGTTAATGTGGTATGCATATACCAAAGGGAAACCCTTTTTCTTTATTAGTAATGCCAGGGCATTGGGTCATTGTACTTGCCTCTTTTGCTGTGGACAACCAAACCAGTAAGTGGTCATCTTGTTTGACTTTCTAAAAAGACAAAATAATGTGAGATTATAAAAGATAATGAATGTCTTTATTAGATGTCGGACTGAATATGAAGTTAAAGATCAAGCTGCGAAAGGAGATGAAGTGACTCGAAAGCGATTTCATGCATTTGTACTCTTTCTGGGAGAACTTTATCTTAACCTGGAGGTGAGAACACATTTTTAAGTATTAATGGGGCCTGGGAACAAATTGATCTAAATGAGGAATGGTTTGTACTATAGTTTTATAACATCAGAAGTGACATGAAAAGAGGAAATGGGAGAGTAAGAAAATAATTTAGTACTTACCTCATGGTAGAGTCTGAATGGAACTTTTGTGACATTAGTTTTTTCTGCTGATGGGCAGGGCATTAGAAATAATTACTGAACTTTAAAAGACTTTATGTACTCATAGGAAACTGTAGTATACCTGTGAGTATAAGCTTTTCAGAGAATTGATACCTTTAAATCCTTATAACGTATTCTACGGAATACAAAACTTCAAGGGAAGGTGAGAGAACAGAATTTACAGCTTAACCCAGAATAGGGTTTATTTATTTATTTTTTAAGTAAAAATTAAATATAAGCATAAACATGTTTTGGAGGTATGTGTGTATTGGAATGGCTAAGTCGAGCTAATAAATGTTTTATATCTTTTGATAATAAGAATACTTAATTTTTAACTCTAATCATTATGATGTGCAGCAGATCTCAGGACGAATTTCTCCTAACCGAAATTTTATACTCTTACGCCAGCATTTCTTTAGTCCCCACAGCCCCAAGATTTGTCTTTTTTGTCTTACTGCATACATTAATTTTCTACATAAAATGCATTTGTACAAAGACTGTAGCTGAACGTAAATTCCGGTGATAAACTTAAATCTGTATAAACCTATAAATGAGATTCATTAGTAAAGAAGGTGTAAATATGTGTCTTGTTAAAAACACTAATGTGTGAATTTGGTATTAACATATAATCTTATATATATAGTATAATCATAAACTTGGCAGATAAATGAATCCACTGTTGAGTGTGCGTTATGTCTTACTCTTTTTTTAGTCTGATTTTTATATAAGCCAAACTAAGAGTACCAACTTAAAATATGGCTTACACAATTTTAAGAATGCTGTAAATGATTTCAGCTATTTGAGAAGTTGAGACAGGGGGATTGTCTTTTAATTTTCTTTTCCTTTGAAAGATCAAGGGAACAAATGGGCAGGTTACGAGAGCAGATATTCTTCAAGTTGGTCTGCGTGAATTGCTGAATGCCCTCTTCTCTAATCCAATGGATGACAACTTAATTTGTGCAGTAAAATTATTAAAGGTAGGTTTTACTTTTTTTTAAAAAAATAACAGTTTTACTCATAATTTAGGGGAAGAAAAGTTTGGTACAGGTGAATTTTTTATTTAAAGTTTAAACAGGCATAAGTATATACTAATTGTATATATAAGAAGCAAAATTTAGAAGTGAAAAATGGAACATTTTCATCCTATTGCCATCTGTAAATTCCTTTCTGTATTTATGCACTCTATAAATAAGATTGTATTTTGTTCTTGCTTCTACTCCTAACCCCTCCCTACTTGCATGGCATGCAGATTTAGCTCAGTATTGAAAGTTCTCTTGTATCCCATTACATTAATATGTGATCCATTTTACTAATTAATATCACTTTAGCCACTGCAGCACTAATGTAATCTTTCATTATCTTTATATGTGTAGATATTTCTTTTTTTTTTTTTTTTTTTTTTTTTAATGTGTAGATATTTCTGTAGTTTAAATTTCTAAACACAGACATGGTGGGTCAGTAGGCAAATATATTTTATATTGACTATAATGCCAAGTTTCTTTCCAAATACTGAGCCAGGATATATTTCCAATAATAGTGTTTCCATCAATACTATTTTCCCTATGCTTTGTAATAGATGCAATCAGTTTTGGTTTTTGATTTGTCATATGTTACAAGTAAAAATGAAAACTTCATTTTACATTGCATTTTTGGATCAGTAATAAATTTAAACATTCCTTCATGTTTACTCATTTATCAGTTTCTATAAGTTACCTGTTGATATCCGTAGTTCTTTTCTTGATGGAACTTTTTTTTTAACTCAGAGCTTTTATATTCATTGCATAGTTTTAAAAGTAACATGTTCGGGGCTGGGGATTTAGCTCAGCGGCATAAGCACCTGCCTTGCAAGCAGGCAGTCGTGAGTTCGATCCCCGTTACCGATAAAAAGGAAAAAGACGAAAAAAGAAAAAGTAACATGTTCAACTTGAGCACTGGGACATATGCCAAAATTGCCCCACTCTACAAGGCTACAGCAGAAAGATCACAAGTTTGAGGCCAATGTGGACAACTCAGTGACTTAGCAAGACCCTATCTCAAAATAAAAAATTGTACAAGAACTGGGAAAGCAGCTCTATGTGAAGGCCCCTGGGTATAATCTCCAGTACCAGAAAAGACAAAACAAAGTAAAATGATGTGACGTTTGTTATACTCTAATAGACTTAGTCATACAAGACTTAAACACTGCCATTGATACAAAACCCATGATGAAAGTTCTGCTACAGTTCATTCTTTTATAGTGGTACTTTGGTTCACACACTTGATTATTTCTATGATTCTAGTTGCAGAGTGAGTTGGATGAGAAATAAATCAAATTCAGTGGTTAGGTTTAGTGTTGACCGAGGGGAAATTTGATTTGGTTCTTGTCTAGTTCTGTTGGGAACCAGAATCGTGGAGAGAATTGAGTTTGTGAACCAAGGTATCACTGTAGTTTGTCTCAGTCAAGAAAAACATAGAAGATACAGAGGTTTGTAAACGTTATTCGGTAGGCAGAGAGCATTTGCTTGAACTGCAGCTAATGTGTTTTCAATATTTCTGTGTCACTGAACTTTTTACGGACACTTGCTTTAGTTGACAGGATCAGTTTTGGAAGATGCTTGGAAAGAAAAATTAAAGACTGATATGGAAGAAATTATTCAGAGAATTGAAAATGTTGTCCTAGATGCAAACTGCAGCAGGTAGGAAAAGAAACGAATCTCATTTTTTGCCCATTTGTGGGTCTAGGTGTTAATCTGCTATACTTCATCAGAGTAATTGAAATCTTACCGACTGGTTGACAGAAATATTTAAAGATAACAGTCTTACGTATGGCTTCTCATTAGTCACTTTTGTTTAGTTAAGTTTAAAAATTGAAATAGTAAGGTTTTCCTGTAAGAAGAGTCTGAAGAATCAAATGATTCATAGTTTAATGCTAACAAATACTTGTGTAAAAGATCACCATGCCATGTAAGAAACAACATTTAAAGGATGTTGTTGCTTTTAATAACAATATAGTCACAATTGCATGGAACACATTTTAAGGCTGGTTGTTTGTTTCGAGACAGGATCTTGCTATATAGTTCAGACTGGCCTTGAACTCACAGCTGTTCATCTACCTCAGCCTATTGAGTGTTGGAATTACAGGCATGTGCCACCATACTCACCTGTCTCAGTGTTTTTTGGGTTTTTGGTACTGGGGATTGAATTTATGACCTCATATTTGCCAGGCAGGTGGTTATGCCACTGAGCTAAATCCTCGGCCCTCAATGTTTTTGAAAAATAAGATGAATTTACAACATTACAGGGAAAACCTAGAAAATTATAGCATTGGCTATACATGTTAAAATAGAAAATAAAATTTTAGGAATCCATGAGATATTTTGGGACCTTGCATCACGTATGGTGAGTTAGTATATTAACTCATTTTGGACTTTTGTCTGTAGAGATGTAAAACAGATGCTCTTGAAGCTTGTAGAACTTCGGTCAAGTAACTGGGGCAGAGTACATGCAACTTCAACGTACAGAGAAGCAACACCTGAAAATGATCCTAACTACTTTATGGTAAGTCAGTGTTTATATTTTAAGTGTATTGCTTAAACTTTTCATTGACAAAGGATTGCACAGAGCAGTGACCTGGTAAATAAAAAGAAAGGATCATCTCAAGAAAGATCCATCTCCTGACAAGAGATTTATTAATAAGGCTTGGTCTTGAGTCAGCATATAGATGCCAGGAAGCAGATTTTCTAGAGAATTAATAACCAAAAGTTCAGCGTCTCAGATTTTACATTGCATATTATAGCAAAAACTAAGTAAAAACAGTTACTAGGTCAGCGATGAACCTGGAGCTTCTGACAACTGAATACAAAGCAGCTATAGAGGAATGTTCCTGTAACACTGGTCTTGGCAGTTCTTAAGGAAAAGGGAATATGCAGTCTAAATGAGCTGATATTAAATCATAATGCACAACAGAAACATTGATCAGAAATGCCAGACATTAGAATTTTAGGAACATGAAATTAATAAATCAGAAATCCATAATAAGCCATAGACCTTTCTCGGTGAAGTAGAGTGGCTGCTGGAATTTAGGATTTTTTTTTCTCTTTTGCTTATTCGTGCATTGTCTAGTGCAGAAGAGTGACAGCAGCCATTTTGCAGTAATTAATTTTATTTATAAAAAATTCTGAATGAAAAATGTTGTCATTTTGATTCACCCTAGAATGAACCAACATTTTATACATCTGATGGGGTTCCTTTCACTGCAGCAGATCCAGGTATGTTGTCTGATAGTCATTGTCACCCTCATGTTTTTGATAAAGCAGTACTTATAGAAAACCATTTTCTACCACTACAAATGTAATTTTTTAACGTGTTCACTGCGTTCTAAAACATAGGATAAAGGTTTTCTTATTTGAGCCATTTCAAATTTAAATCTGATTGTGCATATAGTGTTATTTTACCTTAAGGACTACAAGAATCCATCAGTTGCATGCAGCTACTTTTATATTTTCTCTCATAATATTTTGTTTTTATGCTCTTAAGCTTTCAGGTGATTAGGGTGAAACTGAAAGATGGTTCTAGTTCACTGCAGAGTCAGAAACTTGTATTAGCATGCCTTAATACAGATTTCATTAATTAAAATCTAAATGTCTGCCTACTTCCCCTCCCAGAAAAGGATCATTTATAGACAGACTGTTTTAATTGTGATAGATGGTACTAAAGGTTGAGCAAAAAATTTTCCCGCTTAGTGCAAACTACAACCAACTTGCGGTTGGGACTTTTCCTGTTTTTTTTTCTGAATAGCAGGTGTTAACTGGTGTGTGCCCTAGCACAGAGTTTCTTTAATATGAAGAAGTAGAATTAAGTTACTGTCAGCATCTTCAACTTCACTAAATGTTGATAAATTGCTTTCCAATGCAATTATGCCACTTAATATTTCCACCAACAGCTTGTAAGAGTACTACTGCTTATCTTTGGCAACACTCATTATCGCACTTAAATTTTTCAGTCCAGTTGAATGAATTTCTGTCTTGTCATTTTATTTCCCTGCCTGGTGAGGCAGAATTTTTCCTTTTTCTGTTGATCTTTGGATTTCTTCCTTTGAGAATTGTCTCTTTACCCTCATTTTAATAGGTCATTTGTTATAATAATTTGTGATTCTTCTGTATTCTAGAAAAAAGTGATCCTTAGTCAGCTGAGGCGTACTTCTTTCAGTGTGCCTCTTCTCGTTTTGTTTACAGTGTCTTGTAAAAACATTTGAGTTTTAATGTGAAATTTATCAGTCATAATTTGTGCTTTCCTTGATTTTATGTAGCCACTTTCAAATTTCATTTTCTTCTAAAAATCTTACTTTGCTGCTTTCGTTAGTTAGATCTCTAATCCACCTGGCTAATCTTTATGTGATAGGTATTAGGAATTAAATATTTTTCCATAGTCTTGTCTCAGTAAGTACTGAGTCATCCTTCTTTCCATAGTTATATATAAGCTCCCTATGTTGTATATCATGTTTGTTCACATGGATCTTTTGTTAATCTTTCTCCACCAATACCACACGCTTAATTATTACTGTCTTGCTATAAATCTTCCTATGTCTAGTAAGACAAATCTTATCTCTTATTTTTCAGTTACACTGATTCATTTTCACTGTTAATTGGTTACTTGTGTCTAGTTTGAGTAGTGTCTTACTCTGGTAAATTCTGTTCATGGAAATTTAGTTTGGTTTATCCAAACTAAATGTTTTGCATTTCATTCAGTTTTTTTCCCTCATCATTCATCCATGTTTGCTTTTGTTTCATATTTTATTTTCTTAATTCTAATTCTGATACCATTCATGATTTTCACACAGGAAGAAAGTTGTTTCCTTATGTCATGATATTTCTGTTGCAAGTTTATTTGACTTTGGCTCTTAAGCTTCATTCTAAAGTGATTTCAAACTTTCAGTAAAGTAACAAATATGAAAACTGTATAAAACATATCCATCTCCCTTTTACTTAGATGTACTTTTTTTCCCCCAGTCCTAGCGATTGAACACCCCCAGGATGTTCACACTGAGCTACACCTCTATCCTTTGATATTTTTGAGACAGGATCATGCTGAGTCACTGAGTTGTCCAGACTGACCTTGAATTTGTGATCCTTCTGCCTCAGCTTCTTATACTGGGATTATAGCAGTATCCATGCCGGAGTCAGAAGTACTTTTTGTTAACAGTTAAACTGAGTAATTCATGCTCTCTTCATACATTTTTTTCTAAACCATTTGAAGTTACATTTAGTATGGCTCTGTATTAATGCTTTAATATTTTAACTTTCTGACTTTTAAAAATACATTATAGCTTAAGTTATAGCAATTTATTAAAAATGACTTTAAATCTTTAAAAAGATTTCTAATACATTTTAAGAAATCTTCTGGGAGTAACAGAGTTTCCACTCCAATGGCTTTGGAATAGATTTGGGTGGGGGGAGTCTTCATGTGAACAGTAGAAATTTGAGGTACAGATCCACTGTTACAAAGTCTTACAAACCAGTATCTCCAGAGTGCCTCGATACTACTGCAGACCTATGCAGACAGCTGAGCTTTTTATTTGAGACAGGATTTCACTCTGCAGTTCAGGCTGGCTTTGAACTCACTTTGTGGCCCATGCTGGCCTCAAACTTAGAGCAATCTTCCTGCCTTAGCTTCCTGAGTGCTGGGAATGCAAGTGTATGCCACCATGCCTGAGGTTCCTTTGTGGGTTTTTAAATTTTATGTATTTATTTATTTTTGGTCTCTGAGACAGTCTCACTGTGCATTTCAGGATGGCCTTGGGCTTACTTTGTAGCCCAGGTTGGTCTCAAATTTGTAATGGTCCTCCTGCCTCAGGCTCCTTCGTGCTGGGATTATAGAGGTGCGCCACCAGCCCTGGCTGAGATTCCTTTTTATATTTGTCTTTACCACTCTGCTGAGTTTTGTTTTAGTTTTTCCTGGCACACTTTGTGTTTAAGATATCAGCTCTTTGAGGGTCCCTTGCTTGTGCAGGATGAGATGAGTAAGGAGCATAGATTCTGTTTTCCTATTTCATATGGACCCAAGACCTTGATACAGATTTTTCTGTGGAGAGGTGTAGAGGGTTTTTTGTTTTTTGTTTTTTTTTCCTGAGCCAATCTTGCAGCATAGTTCAAGCTGGCCTTGAACTCACTGTGATCCAGGATGGCCTTGAATTTACAGCAGTCCTCCTGCCTCACCCTTGCAAGTGCTGGCATTACAGGCATGCACCACCATGCCTGAATTTCTGTGGGTTTTAAAATCTTAAGCCCTTAGTCTTTGAGATGAGAACTATCTGTCAGCCTCCCTGTACCAGCTGTAGTAGTTAATGGATAGTTTTTTCCTGTTGTCATTATATTCCTATTTTTTCCTATTTAGGTTTTTTCCTATTGTCATTTGGTGCCTTGATTTTTTTTTTTTTTTTTTTTTTTTTTTTTTTTTTTTTTTAAAGGTGGTCTCATCTACTATCTCAAGCATTTGTAAAGCCGGACGTAGTATATTGCTGTAATCTCAGCACTCAGGAGATTGAGACAGGAAGGTTGCTGAGAGTTTGAGGCCAGCATTGGATTACATAGTGAGACCTTATCTACACTTGATCTTAGCCAAAAGGCAGAGAAGTGATGTGAGACCTTGTAGCAGAAGGCTTTATAGTCAAAATATTCTGTAAATTGTCAACACTGAGTCACCAACTCTTGAAGTTGAGTTTTATAGACACTGATGATCTTGGGAAAACATGATCTTTATCCAGTGGTTATAATATTCTTTTAAGACCCATAGTGGCTTTCGTTTTTAAGAAACTAATATTAATTAGTAACATTACACTTAATATATGCTGATCCATTTCATTATTCAGAGATTTTATTGTTCAGATCCATGTGTACATACTAAGTTTAAAAGGCACCCATTAACTCTGTCTACATGAGCTGGCAAGTAAACAGCTGTATTACCTGTCTCTTCAGTGGCTAGAGCTGAAGTAAGCTGAGTATCTTACTTTCCCGGTCTCTTAAGGGAAGGAAAGAAAAGAAAATGCCCACTGCTGAAAACCTTTGACAAGTTAAAACTCACCAGCTTGAATGAATTGCTATTACCTGGTAGCAGAGGGTGTCCTTTGCTGTGGAGGAGTAATGTGGCAGCTGGAAGCTGGGAGTATTAGGAGGGCAGGCAGAAAAGGAAAAACAGTGTGAAAGTGTTGTTCCTTCCCAGCAGAACCAGAATTCTTTCTCATGAAAAGCAGCATAGAGACAAATAATTAAGATTTGTGAGTATGCAGCGGATTGGGAGAAGTTGGTAAACTTAAGTAACCAATTAATGGAAGCTATTTTATGTAATTGGGAGTTTACTGCTATTTAAACATTGGTTCACTTAAATGAAAAGGGACAACTGGGTCATTTCATAGGATTTTTTTGTTGTTACTGTCTTAAAGATTACCAAGAGAAGTATCAAGAGTTACTTGAAAGAGAGGACTTTTTTCCAGATTATGAAGAAAATGGAACAGATTTATCAGGGGCTGGTGATCCGTAAGTTCTTTTTAGTTACTAGTTTGTGTTGCTTTGTTTCTGTGGTCAATTTTTAGGTAAAGAGTAGAATAGAAAAAAATGAGGAATGGCATTTCTATTCAATGTTTTATTATATTGTTTGGAGGTGATATATGTACTAAAAATTTTCAGAAATCATACTAAAAACTCAGGCTCTATTCTGAAAACATAGTTGAAGGAAAGAAAACAAAGCGTAGTATTCTTAAGCATTATTTCTAAAACAATAGATTTTATTATGCCTACAGTTTAAGAATCTCTGATTCTTACTGTAAGATCGTGGGTGACTTCTGTGCCTGTTTCTCCATCTGGGAGACAGGAATAGTAGTGCCCCCTCTTGGAATCTTTTTGAGAACTAAATGGGAATACATTAAATATTTGACAGCCTTCTAGCACATAGTAAAAGGCTTGAATCTTAAGTTTTTAAAGAATAGAGTGAAGAAAACAAGTTACTGTATAGACAGATTTAGGCCAATAGAAAGATTATATAGTCTTGTTTTTTTGTGTTTGTGTTTTTCCTGTACCAAAAATTGACCTCAGGACCTTGCGCCAGGTAGGCACTTGTGCTGCTGAGTATAGTCCTGGCTGTGGTCTTGTTCTCTTCACTTGTTACTTTCCCAGTGCCTTTAACAACTTGTGTGTATTTGTATAAGCTACTTAGGTTCTTTTTTTTCCACCTATGTCAGTGTGGGCCGGGGAGTAAATTATGTCTGTGACTTTGTATTTTAATCTTTTGTGTGTATTCTAGAAAAAAGTGAACCACTTGGGGTTTTGTTGTTGTTGGTTTTGTTTTTTTTTGTTGGTACTGGGAATTGCACTCACGACCTTGCGCTTGCCAGGCTGGCACTTCCACCGCTGAGCTAAATTTCTGGCCCTAAGTGAACTACTTTTATTTTAGTGATCTCTTCTGAGCATTTAAGATCCAGAAATATAATATTGTCATACCTTTATATAGCTTGATAGAAAATACAGAGATTTAAAGACCCAGGGAAAACTAGGAAGCTTTAAACCTGCTGGATATTAGAAGTTGTTCTTGGCATTGAATTATGGATTTTTTTTTTTCTAAACTTTTGTTCAGGAAACATCATATTCTCTTGCTCAGATGAGCTCGTGGATATATCAACATGTGGTGTGCCCTTATATTAGAAAAGAAGAAGAAATGGAAAGAAAATGACCTACATGCAGTCGATAGGCTTGGCAGATAATTTGTTGCACTTTTGGGGGGGGGGATATTTTGGGGTGAATAAGGGTAAAAGGGCACATAGACATCATGTTGTGGGGAAAAGGTATAGAAAAGGGAAAAGATGTGGAATCATATGTTTTTCTCTGAAACATGCTTAGTCAAAAGTTTATTTACTAAACAACTTGTTACCACTCAACTTTTTAAAAAATTTCCAAAATAAAGATACTAGAGTAACTTTTTAAATACAACCATTGGAAATTCATGTGTAATTACATTCTTTATTGGCTCTTTACATTTTCCTCTCATACTTAAACAAGGAAAACCTTGCTTTCTATCATTTTAAACTTCTAGTTTGGCAGGAACTATAGTTGGAGGAAGATTCTAGAATTGATAACCTCTAAATTAGCTTCCTATCATGAAAGTCTGGTTCCAGATAAGTCGGAGTGTAACTACCTTATTGTGGAAATAAGCTAGCCAGAATCAGAGGAGAAATAATACTTTGTGATGTTAAATAGTTGTAATGATATATAGTAAAACATCAAAGAGGCAAACTCTATCTGAAATAACCTTGTAGCTGTAATATAATTAATTCAGCCTTGGAGAGTTGTCACATACATTCTTTACATGGCTTTGTAGACATTTTCTGAATTGAAAAGCATTAAATTTATGAGTCATCTTTGGGTTGTTTTACAGATACTTGGATGATATTGATGATGAGATGGACCCAGAAATTGAAGAAGCTTATGAAAAGTTTTGTTTGGAATCAGAGCATAAGCGAAAACAGTAAAGTTAAATTTCACTGTATCAGTTTTTATAAAAGTTTAGGTATGATGATTTAGCAGAACACAAGGAAGCAAGAACATGTGTCATACTTATACCAAATTAAGTATGTTGAGTTATGTTACTAATGTATGCTACTTTAATTTTGTTTAACACTATCTGCCAAAATAAACTTTATTCCCTATAACTTAAAATGTGTATATATATAAAATAGTTTATTATGTACAGTTAATTCCACTGTTTTGGCTGCAATAAAATTGATTTTGAAATAAATGAAATGGGTGAAAGTAAATTTTGCTAGCTGGTTAGATGCTTATCCTTTTAAGTTTTCTTTCTTGAGTGAAAAAGACTCAGCCTAGAAATACAGATTACTCAAAAATGTAGTTTTTTTTTAAGATAGGAATATTAAAGCTTTTTTATTTTGATACTTATGTCTCAATTAATTGAGTTTCAAGTATTGCTGGTTGTGATGGCACACACTTGAGAAGATGAGACAAGAGGATCATTGTGAGTTTGAGGTCAGCCTTAACTATATAGTGAGACCTTGTCTCAAAACAAAATTGATCATAGTCATAAACATCCGTAGCACTAGTCTTTGAATATATCAACAGCTGACTTAACACATGTAGATTGTATTTGACACATATTTGTAAAAATATCATTAATGAAGGAAAAAACTTAGAATTCCCAGCTAAACAGCCAAGATTGTTCACTGAGGATTTATTCCAATTGAAGAATTTTTTTTTTTTTTTTTTTTTTTGTATTGGGGATCGAACTCACGACTGCATGCTTGCAAGGCAGGCGCCTATGCCACTGAGCTAAATCCCCAGCCCAAGAATTATTTTTTTGTTTCTTTTACTTGACTAACTTTAGTACCCTAAGGCCTGGAACATTTTTCTGTTTTATTTATATGACGTTCTCATTTTTATTTTGTAGCATGGATTGCATTGACTTTTTTACTAGAGAATTTTACTGGGTAATTTGTCATTCAAGTTTTCATCTGCTTTATAATTGATACATCTCGAGGATCATTTTTCTAATACTTTTACTATAATGTGTTATCACCTCAGCCCAATCCAAGTAATATTTTTACCTAATGCCAAATGTTTTTCAACTAACTAAAAGACATTTATAAAAGAGTTGCCTGTAAATATGCATGTAAATAGTTCTGTTAATAACCCACTGTTTTACATTTGGAACACCTGTGTCTGCTAATACAGTTAGCTTCCTCACTTTTCTGCTTGTTCAGTCTGAATTAAAGTTAGACTTTGAAAAATAAAATTTAAAATAGTTTTGTTCCTTTAAGTTTTTGAAGTGCTATTACGGTATTTTAAAGAATTTGGTGTTTAATTTATTTATATAATTTAAAATCAGAAGCCATAGTACAACAGGATATTTGACTCAATGTCTATTAAGAATTCAGTGCAATAACAGAAATCTAGATAAACTAGCAAATATATATAAAAATTCTGAGATTCTTGTGAAGGAGGAATATATATATATTAATATTACATATATGAAATTAGGCCAGGCACAGTGATATACACCTAAAAGCTGTAGGATCACTGAGTTTGAGGCCAACCTGGGCTCCATAGTAAGTTCAGGGCCAGCCAGAACGACATAGTGAGACCCTGCAAGCAAAAAAATGCTTCCTGTAACATGGTATAACTATTAGTATAATCTATAGTTCTCTAAAGATAGTGCTTACAGTACCTTAGAACAACAACCAGGGAATGCTAACTGACATACTTTGAACTTGTAGCAGTTCTGTGAGTAAACAGCTAGCATTTGCCCATTAACTCATTTTTGCCAACTTCTGCTATACTCCAGTATTTGTCAACAGGATCAGTATATGTTTTAAATACTACTTCAGCATAAAAAACCACCCAAGAGCTGGGGATGTAGTTCAGTGGAAGAGTCCTTGCCTATACAAGGCCCTAGGTTCAATCCCCTGTGTGTGGTGAGAAACCACTCTTAATATTTTAATGATTTTATGCTTATGTGCTTCAGGCATTAGATATAGCACCGTGGGGATGCATTCTCTATTGTGTAATGTCTGAGGCCTTGTCTGGGAAGACTAAGGGCTCGAAATAGCTTGAACAGCTGGGGGCTTGAACATCTGGAGTCATCTCACATGGCTAGTGACTAGACGCAAATCTCTGAAAGCCAGAACTAGACTGAAACTGTTGACCAGAACCACCTACCCTTTACCTTTGGCATGTCTATGTTGCTTGGACTTCTTGCAGTCTGTCGGCTGGATTCAGAAATCAGCTATTCTAAAATACCTAGGAAAGCGGGGAGTGATAGCGCATGTCTCTGGGAGGCTGCAGCAGGAGGATTGCCATAAGTTCAAGGCCAGCCTGCATGCATAGTGAGACTTTGTCTCATAAAATACCCAGGAGGAGGCTGCATGTAGAAGACATGCAGCAGTACTTCTACATTATCTTGGTTCTAAATGAGTCACTAAAGCTGTATCAAATAGGCCATCAAGCAACATGTGGATGTTTTAAAATTGTGACTATAGTTAACCTTGTGTCACAATTGTTGGCCTTTAGAAATTCCATGTTTTCAAAAGCAACATATAAGAATGTGTCAGAATTACTAGTGTATCTCCAGTGAACAAGATTACCAGTAAATGTCATAGTATTGTGTTCTAGAAACAAAGCACAAATACTGGTCTTAATTTGGCAGTCATGTTATCAATTTAGGCTGTATCTATATAGTCAGTGCCCCACTTCTCAACACACACCATCTGATATTATCAGGAACACATCTGTACTTGAATATTTGTTGCAGTAAAGGGAACATACACCTGGAGAGATGGGTGTATCATCAGTATGAGGGTGTTAGACCTTAAATAGAATTTGAGCTGTGGTTGGGGAACTTGGGTGGTCTAACGCATTAGAGAGTCACTGCAGATTGGAAGTTGTCAGATAATTGCATTAAGACTTGGGAGAGGAGAGATGAATGTGGGTTAAGTTGTTAAGTCACATTTGGCAAGAGGATGTTCAATATGCAAGTTAAATCTGTCAAATGGAAGTTGACTCAAACATAAAAAAGCACCTCTAGTGTTAGGTTAGAAGGACAGATAGCCAAGTACAAAGGTCACAGGAAAAACATTTTCTTCTGAGACCTCACAGCAGCTATAAAATGCATCATGACCCCAACCTTTTGTAGCCACTGCTTTAATATCCTAGAACTGCTTCTACCCATCTGTTACTGGAAATACCCAGTTGCCAAACTGTCCTTGCCTCTAGACAGCACCCAAGCTGTAGCAGATCCTTGCTTCTAATTTTTCTGCAGCAGCCACATCCTACTCTAAACTGATCTCTCTTCCTATAGAACTAAGAGTCCCTTCAGCAGGCACACAAACCTTACCAAGATGGTTGGTACTCCCCCTTGTGGAGTAGATGCCACCTTCAGTTCTCCTGCAGTGCTCGTTTTCATACATGATTTTTCCAGATGGCAAGTGTGAGGCTGGTGTTTTGTGGTTTGGTTTGACTACATTTTAGTGGAGTTATGTTATTTAAGTTCATGCTGCTGCTGACCTGTTATGTTAACTTGGTGTCATGGTCTGTGTCCCCCAGGCCTCATGAGTTTGCATTGTGTATTTGTGATGGTTCATTGTCTAGTGCTTGAATTGATGGTGTCAGTGTGCCACCCACATAGGGGTGGAGCCAGGATGTGATGTAATGGCAGGAAGAAGGTGTGTCTGTCTCTTTGCTGGTTCAAGCTTGATGTCGGTGGCTGCCATGAACTGTGGTCCAGCCACGCCGGCCTGTCTTGGAGTCAATTGAGTGTGGACTGAAACCTCCAAAAACTGTAAGAAATAAACCTTTCCTTTCCCAACTTTGGGCTTCAGGTATTTTGTCTCAGCGACGAGTAAAAAGTAACCAAGTAAACCATTTTGTCTCAGTAACGAGTAAAAACCAATCAACTTGGCAAAACAGCAACCTGGGTGAGCTGAACACTGCTCACCTGTGCAGTTAGAGGTTCTGCAGTTTTGTTATTCCAGTACTAGGGAGTTGGAACAAGGCGTGTTCTACCACTCGACCCTGAACCTTTTTAAGTTTTTTGAGATGGTTTTGATAAGTTGCCTAGACTGGCTTTGAACTTGCAATGTTCCTACTTCAGCCTTCCAGGTAGCTGGAATTTCAGGAATGCCATTGCAGGAACTGCACCTGGTTGCCGGTCATGGATTAGTAAATTTGTACCACTATAAATTCATGAACACCTTCGATTAGGCTGTCAGCATTGCCAACAATCTTACTGTATCTGTCTCTAATTCCTTTTTAACTGCTTCATACCCTCTTCACTCTTCTCAGGTTCTTCAGCTCCTAATGACTTGCTTCACAGGAAAAAAGGCCAGATGAATTACACAAATGTACATGTTCTCCTGTATAGGAAATATCCTACTTTTAAAAATCTATTATTCGGGGCTGGAGATTTCGCTCAGCGGCATAAGCACCTGCCTTGCAAGCAGGTGCTGAGTTCGATTCCCAGTACCGATAAAAAAAAATCTTGTTATTCAATATTGGCTGGAATCTTGTCTCCCATCACTGTTTTTATTTTTTTTTTTAATTTTTTTCATTTTTATTGGTACCAGGGATTGAACTCACGACTGCTTGCTTGCAAGGCAGGTGCTTATGCCGATGAGCTAAATCCCCAGCCCCTCCCCTCACTGTTTAACAAAATCTGTTTCTTTCTCTCTGTCTCTGTCTCTCTCTCTCTTTCTCTCTGTCTCTCTCTCTCTCTGTCTGTGTTAAATCAAGCTCTGTGTGAGTTGAATGTGCCATTACCAAAAGAAATCTGGCCCTCATTTCTCCCAATAGGTCTCTGCTTCACAGACTCAAGTGCTGTCCCATATTTTCCATCTCCAGATCTCCTATTCAAATACATTATGATTTCTACCCAACTGTATACAACAACTTGTGCTACAGTCACCAGTAACCTTTATGTCACTAAATCCAGTAGACATTTAGTTCTTTTTTAAATTTGTCTTCTGTCAATATGTGACATAAAAATTGAAAACCTCTAGGACACAATAACCTGCTCTATGCTGGTGCCTTTGTGGACTTCTCTTCCTTTACCTGATTTTAAAAGCATGTTCCTCAAATCAGGCCTAAGAATTCTAATTTGCTTATGTCTCCATATTTTTGGACTGTTTCATCCTCTTCTATAAGCTTCAATTAGCTTCTGTCAGCAAGTGACTTGCAGATTTGTTTCTGTCTCCTGATCCCAGACCTTTATTAACCTGTACCATTTCCACTAGGAGAACTTAAGATATTTAACTCATACGTTAGCTAAATTTACAACCCCCACTCACCGATAGCACTGCTACCTTTTCAATCACTCCAAACAGAAACTCTGGCATTGTTTTAGATTCCTACGTTTCCCTCAAGTCCTAGGTTCAGTCATTCCCAAGAAGAGTTGGACTTCTAAAAACTATGCCCTCTTTGCTGACTGCCCAGGTCCTAAGTTCCAGCTGCTATTTTTCTCATTGATTTTTTTTTTTTTTTTTTTTTTTTTTTTTGGTGTGGAGATTGAACTCACAACCTCGTTTGCCAAGCAGGCACTTAATGCTGCTGAGCTAAAACCCCAGCCCTCATTAATTTTTGTGTTTTTAATTAGGGTCTTGCTGTGATGCTCAGGCTGGTCTCCAACTCTAGCTCTGACTCTAGGAATTTTTCCACCTTAGCGTCCTGAGTAGCTGGTGTTACTGTTATGTACGAAGCTTATGGTCTCACATCAAAGAATGAAGTTGCAAATCAAAAAGGAAGGAGAGATTTTACTAGAAATATGAATAGCTTTTGGATTTCGAAGAGGAGTCCTGAGTGGGGGGCAGCTGAGGCTTTTTGTTATGGGCATTTTGTACAGCAGAATGGGTCAAAGTACAATCAACCTATAGGATTATAAGTGTGCTTAGGTATTGGTCATAATAGGGAAGTGAGGCACATAGCAAAGGTATATGGTGAACATCATTAACTTTGGCTTATCTATAACTTTTAAGGTAGAACAAAGGCATTTCCTTAAAAATGAAAAAAATGAGAGTATGGGTCAGGGTGTTTGATCAACCCACTTACGCATCTGAAGGACTATGTTGGCTTACTGACTGGGTGTTGCTAACCACAGAGTAATCTCAAACCGCTGTTTATCTCTAGGGAGCCTTGCATGCCTGGTTCTCTTCAAACTTGTTGCAGGCACAGTTCTGATGGGTCTCATCTTTTGCACTGACTTCAAGAGCCTGACCTCTCTCAATCTAATTTAGCTGTCTATAATACTGAGATTATAGCACTAGTGACAACACCCAGCCTCTCCTGTTGGTATTTTAAAGGCCTTCTAAAGAATTCTCCACATCTGCACATGCATATAATCCATTCTCCACTCAGCAGTTCCAGAAATCTTTCAAATGTACAAATAGCATCACAAAATCACTCTGTACTACAATTTCCATTTAGAAGATTCCTAAACATTGGAGGGTAAAAGGGCTAGGCTAGCATAGAACTAAGCACTGCATAATACAAACTGATGCCTTGGATGCCTTCACAATTTACATAAGATTGAAACTAATTTTTATAATCGGCATTTTTAAAATGAAGGTGGGTTTACAGAGGCAGTGCTGTCACTTTTGCTTCCTAGAAGACTTGGTAATAAGCAAGTATACCTCAATAAAGTTGTTTAAAAACGAAGGCTGGAGCGGGGCGTGGTGGCACATGCCTGTAATCCAGCACTTAGGGAGGCTGAGGTAGGAGGATCCTTGCAAGGTGGAGACCAGCCAGGGCTGCAAAGTGAGCTCAAGGCCACCCTGAACTGCATAACGAGACCCTGTCTCAAAAAAGACAAAACAAAAGGGCTGGCCAGATAGAAATCTTTTCCTAGTTCGGTGTCAGAAAATAATGTCACAAGATAAAGACATGATTCATATGTCCATAATGATCTGGCCCCAGCCACACTCTTCCTCTTCAAGCCTCTCCCCTTTTGCTTATATACTGCCTTGCTTTCTTTCTTTCAACCCACATAAGCGAAAACATCTTTCCCGTGGACCTCGGAGCTTTAACCTCTACTTAGAATACTTTGTCCCCTACTGTACCAGCTAACCCTTACTTAAAACTTGATTTCAGTGGAAATAGTTCGTCTTGGTTACGCCTTTCCACTATCTGCTCTCATGGACATTTTTATCTTAGGCACATAAGTATAATCAAATTAGTCTTTTTTTCCAATTAATCTCTAGTCCGCCCTCTCATCCCCAAGAATTGAGCTTCTTTCCATGCTTCCCACCATAATTCACAAATAGGGTTGCGGAAGTAAAGACTGACGCGGTGCAGGCCGGACCTCCCTCCCGCGCCCACGCCCACGCCCGCTTCCTGACGTGCTCTCTGCCGGAGGCGAGCTGCGGGGGCGGGACTTCCGGCTCACATGTTTCCGGAGGCGGAAGGCCGCTGCCCGGCGGGGAGGTTTGAACTGCTGCTAGTGTTTTTTTTCTCCTTGGTCACCCCTATTGCGTGCTATTCTTCCACTGCCCAGGTGCGGCTGGTATCTCAGCCAAGACATTCTTTCTGTGACACTACCTCTCCGCGGTTGCGACTATTTTCCGTCATCCGGAAACATCACTCTTTGTAATTTGTCAGATTCAGAAAATATCCCTGGAGAAGCAATCGTGGGGAGGCGCGGACGCTGCGGTTGCCGGCTGTTGGCCAGACGGAAGCTCGGAGGCCATTGATTGGCCTCTTTCCCACAGCTTCGTAGCTCCCAGCTGCCGTGTAAGCGAGAGACCTTTAGTTGTTTGGATGAGACGTTTCTATAACCAGGTATTGTATTGTGAAAAGTGAGTTTCTCACCAGTTTCAAGAAGAGATTGGTTTGTGGCTAACACGCCGACAAAATGTACTACTGGGTGGGAGAACACAGATATAAAGCAGGGGAGATGAGGGTCGGGGCTAGATTATGATTTTCGTTGGTATGCCAGGAACTTGAGGTTCTACACTGATTCTTGTGTATGTCTGATTATTTAAAATTATTATCTATTAAAATACACCGGTTTTGGTAAAGCTGTTTTAAAAACAAAAACCCTTAAACTGTGGTAGAGACCTTTTAACAATTCGAAATCAGGATATTTTTTGATTTCCTTATTAGAAATTTTTCAAGGGTATAGCGGCATCCTTTTTTTTTTCTTGAAATATCGGGTAGATGAGTCTGAAGGGTGTGTGTACCAGAAATATGTTACCATTTATTCCCATGAATATTTATTGCCATTTAACAGCTATGTAAAGCAGTTAGTATAGTCTGACTTGTGGAAGTTACCTATGCAGCCGTACTAGAGATGCGTTAGAGAGAAAAGAAACTGGAAAAATAACCTAGACGGTTTCAGAATTTGATGAGGAGAGTAGATTTTAAAAAATGATGAGAGCCAAGTTTAAGAGAAACTTACAAAATCAGCAAGGTTTGTTACATAGGTACAGAGGACACACCGAGAAGCCAAATATATCGCTATCATTGACTACTAATACTGATTCCATTATCTCACATTGCAGATGCAAGAGAAGCTACAGTTTAAATTTTTATTCATTTGTTCTGTGGTCATTTGATGAATATTTATTGCCTAATACTATTTTTAGATCCCAGATATATATATGTATGTGTGTGTGTGTGTGTGTGTGTGTATAAGACATGTCATGTCCCTGCTTTGTTGTATCAAAATAGTGGAATTAACGACATAATAAACTACTAAATATGTATGTGTATATATTATATAATATATTCATATATGCACACATACTTAGGTTATAAGGAACAAAGTTTATTTTTGCAGTATTCAAGTTGCATACATTAATCCATAAAGATGAAAAGCAAATAATTTTAATAGTGATAGAGATGAATTAGAATAAATGATTAGGAGATGATTAGGAGCAACTTTTAAGTTGGTGGTCGAGCCAGGCGTTTTGAGATCTCCATAATGACAAACAAAAGTGTGATAACTAAGGAAAGGACAAAATAGGCCGAAAGAATGGTACAAACATCCTAAGATGAGAACTTGAAAAAGCAAAGTGAATAAAAGATCATGAACAGTTGACTTGACATTTGTACATATAAATAGTGCTTGATTGTATGGCCTTCGTAGGATATGATTAGAAGTTTGTTCGCTTGTTTTTATCGGTACCGGGGATCGAACTCACGACTGTCTGCTTGCAAGGCAGGCACTTATGCTGCTGAGCTAAATCGCCAGCCCCAATGATTAGAAGTTTGGATTTTATTCTAAGTGCAAATGGAAGATATTGGTGGGTTTTAAGCCAAGGGGTGATAGATCTGGTTTTTATTTTAAAAGATCTCTGGCTACTGTATTTAGATTGGATTTGAGGGAAGAGATGATAGTGAAAGTGAAGCCAAGTATTGTGGTTGCATGCCAGTAATCCTAGCATGTGTAAGGCTGAGGCAGGAGGATGGCTACCAGCCTGTGCTACAAAACAGTTCAAGGCCAGCCTGAATTATATAGTGCAACCCTGCCTCAGAAAGACCAAAACAAAAAAAGAGTGACAGTAAAATTATAGGATATTATAGAAGTATGCTTTTGTTGGGAGTAGTTTAAGTTCCATTTTAGTCATAGTGGGTTTGATTTATTTATGAAATGGGCATGAAAATAAGTCTAGCAAGATAGCAGTCAGGATACCAAATGTTCTGGAAAGAGGTCAGGTAGATTGAGAAGTTCTCTAGAGAAAGAAAAGAAAATTATGTGACTTTCCTTAGGCGAGACCCAAGGATTATTTACTTATATCCAGACAGTCCACAAAAAGTATAGGCTGTGTCACATGCAACTGATTGCATGCATTGAAAGAGGGCAAGATGAAAAAAAAAACAAGGTGAGGCCTAACAGTGACATGAGTGTTTATATCAAGAAGAGATGAAATGGAGACTAAGATCAGGTCTTGAACCTTAACTTATGGTAATTAAGTGAATGATAGAAAACAGATATAGGCAGAGGGAAGAAACCCAAAATGAGAAATTGGTGTTGAGTGGGGACAGCAAGGGAAGAGTTTGGTGCAGGGAACTGTAGATAATGTGATCACAGATAGACCGGGTCTAGTAGGATTCAGAAGACATTGGTGACCATTGTAAAAGAATAATAGAGAAGTATACAAAAAACTGGATTGCAGTGGATTGAAAATTGATAGAAAAGGTAGGCAGTGAAAGTTTTGTTACTCTTTAGAGGTTTATTGGTAAGAAATGGAGTAACCCGGGGAAGTGTTATCTATGGAAAGTTATTTTGTTTAAACAGGTGAAATTTGATCACCTGAATAGTAAAAGGGGATAATACAGAAGAGGTGGGATTAGTGTTAGGAAGGAATGAAAACATTTCATAATCTTTACTGAGTCCTTATGAGGTGACTTTCTCAGTGCTGGGCATTTGTATTTTCTCACAACAGACCTGCTACTACCACTGTTCATTGTAGAAACAACCGAGGGTCATAACTAGTAAGTGGTAGAGTTCCAGTGAAACTCAGCTCTCTTCTTTTCCTATACTTGTAAGAATTGCATAAGTGAAGTCAGAGTCATTTTAAAGGTAGGAAATTAAATTCAGGAATGATGAATCTAAGTCACTAGAAAATTAAGTAATCTCTTCAGTAGTAACATATAACTTGCCCTAATTACTTTTTACTTGTTGCTGAAACAAAATACCTGATACCCAAAGTTAGGGAAGGAAGGGTTTATTTCTTACAGTTCGTGGAGCTTTCAGTCCATACTCAGTTGGCTCCAAGCGGCAGGCAGGGTGGCATGGCCGGCCGCCATTCATGGCTGGCTGCAAACAGCAAGGCACGAACCTGTAAGAGAGACACACACACACTTCCTGCTGTTACATGTATCCTGGCTCCACCCCTAGGCGGGTGTAGCACTCACACCACCAATATGAGCTCTAGACAGTGAACCAGTCACAAAGAATAATTGCATGAGGTTTGGGGGCCACTGACATAAACCATGACACAACTTACTTCCTTAATGCCAGGCTAGGGACAGGCTAGGCTAGGTGTTTGGATTTCTCTTAGACCTAATAATTAATTTTGGCCTGCCATTTGCACGTATTACAGATGTTTTGCTACATTCATATTATAATGGTGTAATTTGCTTGGGGATCCTCAGCATGTAATGTATAGAAATTAAAGTTCAAAAGTATTAAAGCTACAAAAATTATAGACATCTATAACTTTGTGAGCTGTCTTCTCTTTCTAGGTTATGTTCCCACATTAGAATAAAGTCCTAGGGTTAATTAAGGCATTTTGTTAAAAATGTTCATTTTAGATCCTTTAAGTATTTATAGTAAGGTATATATAAATATAAGTAAGTATAAATAAATACAGTATCAGCATGTTTTTATTTAATGTCATTAGAAAATGAACTTCTTTAATTTGACAGGATTTTTGTGCATTTAAGGAACTGTTTGTACTGCTGTTTTTCATTTCCTTCAGTCTTTGCCTTGGGAGGTTCTGATCGTTCCCCATCAGTAATGGCAGCTGCAGTGCGAATGGTACTTTATGAAGACGATTCAGTTCAAGTACAGTATATTGATGGTTCCAAATTACAGCTGTCTCCCTGTGGCTCTGAATTTTTATTTGAAAAATCACCTCCTATTTCAGCACATCCTTTAAAACAACCAGAAAGAATTCGTCAAAGGACACACTTTGTTATCAGCACTTACCGAGTAAGTAATGTCACAAAAACTACTTTTGCGAACATTAAAATATTGTTCAAGGGAGCTAGAATATGAAGTTATTTGTGTTCTGGACTACTGTCATTCTATACTGATTTTCAAATCATTTTATATTTTTAAGGTGACATTTTCATTTCTCTTTATAGAAGCAACTTCAACGTGCCTTAGATTTTCGAAACTCTTCAGCTACTTGCCCATTTTTATCTGAAAGCATCATACCTTCTGAAAGAAAAAAAGTAAGTCTTTAGTTTTGTTTTGTTTTTGGTATCAAGAATCAAACTCGACCTTGTGCTTCCAGGCAGGCGCTTGTGCCACTGAGCTATATATCCGGCTGCAAGCTAAGTTTTTAAAGCCTCATTTTTATAAGATTTGAGAGGAGATCATTAGAAATTGGTAGTTTAATGTTTAAACTCCTCGCCCCCACCTGATTTTATTAATTTGTGAAGAAGGGAATGGTTTGAGGATGAGTTCTGTGGGAATGGCCAGAAATAGTGAGTACTGTGAGTTGGCCCGTGTCAGAGGCCTGAGAGCACCTCTGCAATATACAGAGAGAAGGATATGCAGAAAGACCAATCTGTTTAACACAACTGAGGTAGCATTTAATGTTTAGATTAGAGTACTTCAGCTCTGTTGTGCCAATTTTTCTGCTCTGGGAAGTCATAGCCTCTTATCTCGAGGCTCCAACCCAGTTGATAGCCCAGATCAGCCACATTCCATCTGGCTCAACCTTGTTTTTTGGGAGTCATGGGGCAGGGAAACCTGTCAACTGCCTAGCTTCAAAGATTATGCATCAGCACCTTGGCCAGCCCTGATTACATTGCTTAGAGCCAATTGAAGGGAAAAGGGAATCATGACATAGCCAGCTCTGTAGGTAACAATACATGGAGATAGGGCCCAGTTTAACCAAGGTGGAGATAATTGCTGTGTATTCAAGGAGTCACCCAAGTGATTCTCCACCACATTCCTCATAGGCAATTTGTACCTGTGCATGATATAACTTGATTCTTTTTTCCCCAGCCCTCTACCCTTCCTTCAACCTCTCCCCTCATTTACAAAAATTTTGTTTCCATTTTTTTCTTTCCCTTCCTTTCTTTCCACATACCCACTTCATAGTTCCCCTTCCCATTTGAACATTTTCATCTTGTTTTACAATATTTATTACTGATTTTGGTCCTTATTTATGCTTTTGGTTTCTCATACCAGAGAAACAGTGCATGAACCCAGGGCCTTTACCCGGAGCTACAACTCCAGCCAGTCCCCCACCCCATTTTTTGTTGTTGTTTGCTTTTTTGAGAGGAAGTCTTTCTAAATTGCTCAAGCTGGGCTTGAACATGTAATCTTCCTGCCTCAGCCTCCCAGAATGGTAGATTATAAGCATCCATCACCATGCCCAGTAATAATTAAGATTATGTAAATTGAAACGTTAAAATATTGGCAACATTGACTAAAATACTGTTGTCCAACACTTACTGTTTATATCTTACATGAAAAAACAGTAGTGTTACTTGTTATCAGTCTGATGTTTTTCCTTTGAATATTTTCATTTTTTTTTAAGCTGCTCTTTAAGCTTCCTGGAATTTATTTTAGTGTATGGTATGGTAAGTTATTTAGGATCGGTATTATATGTGTTATTTTCTTAGTCCATGTAATAATCCTCTGAGGTAGTATTTCCCAAGTGCTGTTCAATAGGTTCAGTACCATTTACTAAGTAATTCTCCTAAGCTGGGATGTAACTCAGTAGTAGAATGTTTGTCTAGTATTGAGTTCCAGCCCTGGGTTCAACCCATAGTACTTAAAAAAAGAGAAAGAGGGAAAAAATAAAATCACCCTACTTTCCCCCTTGCTTTGAAAAACATATGTTGTCATTTATAGTGTTTTAAAATATAATGGAGTTTGCTGGGCAGGGTGGTTCACACCTGTAATTCCAGTGCTTAGTAGGCTGAGGCAAGAGGACCACTGTAAGATTGAGACCAGCTTTGATTACAAAATGAGTTCAAGGCCAGCATGAACTGCATAGTGGGGCCCTGCCTAGATATAATGGAGTTTGTTTTTTGAGTTGCTCTAGTAGGGACTGATCTGCGGGGTTTGTATCATTTAGCGCTTAATGCTTTTAATAGAGTATGTTAGGGTACAGATCCCCCCTTGTTTGTGTTTTCTTTCTCAGAGTTTGGGGTGAGGAGTATGCAATATATTTATTTGTAATTCATTGTGTATCCTAAACCAAAATATGTCAGATACTAGATATGCTCAGAATGTTGTGTTCTTTTCTTTTATTATGGGTATATATTTTAAATCTCTTTTTGTAAGAAATTATATTAACAGATATTCTCTTGGAAACATAAGCTTTTTTATTCTCTTTAAGGAGTAAAAACAATGCTCAGTTGTCAGAGGTATGAAAAACTTGGACTGTCTGTAGGAAGGACTCACCATGTCTTTTTCCTTCTGCAATTCAGCATCTCCTCATTGATACCTCAGAAGTGAGATGGCCCAGTCTAGAAGCAGATGACAGCATGATAAGAATGGAGAGCGGCACCGTGAAGATAACGTCTTTAGATGGTCATGCATACCTTTGCCTGCCCAAATCTCAGCATGAATTTGCAGTACATTTTTTGTGTAAAATTAGCCAGAAGCCAAGAGTACTGTCAGAAATAAGTAAACAAGCTTCAAAAGATAAACTAATTGAAAAAGCCGGTAATATCTCTGGCAGTCTATCAGGCCAAAGATTAAAGAATAAAGAACATGAACTTTTTTGCCAGATCTTGAAATCCAAAGAACCATTAGAGAAGACCAGTTGTACAAATGAAACTGAAGGGGGAGCAGAGCCACCTTCATCCGGAACAGATGACACTCATGTGTACGCATGGGTAAAGCAGTGCTGGTCTGTGGCCTCCTGCCCAGAGGAGTGGAAATACCCTTTGTCTTTAGCACTTCATTTTCATAATAAAGTTAATGATATGCTTGAAATTGATCCAGATGTCACCACAAGTAGAATTTTAACTTCTCGTGTTTCAGAGGAAAGAAGAAAAGAGGTTTCAATTCTTCCCAAGGCCCTGTTACTTAGCTGTCCTTTCCCACACCTGCACAGGTAATGGAAGAATGATTTGTTGGTCATAAAGTTTTTGTAAGACCCAGTCTGACCTCAGCATATTCTTTTTCCTGAATCATCTGATGTGATTCATAAGGAAAATTCACTTAGCTGACCCAAATCTTGGCTTTAAACAAGTAGTAAGTATCCCAAGTAAAGATGTCACTTGTATTTCTTACTTTGTTTCCATACATTGGATGTTTTGGGGAAGCTGACTTCACACTAGATACTTTGTTAGGCACAGTCATTGCGTTCTAGCAGTGTAGACTCCAATGAAGACCACTGTCCCGGTATGTGGTAAGGGATTGGACACGAGTTGCTGGCTCAGCGAGAGCTGATAGGGCATCTGCTGCTGCTCAGAGGAGAAGGTGGCCTGGATTTCTGGAGCATGGGTTTGACAGAACTGTGGTCATGAGTTCTGTCTTTGTACTTGTCCCCAGAGGTTGGCTTGCTGACTAGAATGTGTCCATCCTCAAAAGGGGTAAACAGGTCAAGGCTGCTCAGCAGCCAGCTATAAACCTTAGATCTTTGTTAAGAGATGAATAATTCAATAACTGTAGGCTTGTAACATTAGCTTTGTATAAATATTGCAGGAAGAATAGCTAACACAAACTACATGCCAGATACTGTTGTACTTGACCTGTTTGATTCTCATAGTAACTTCATGAAGTAAGTACTATTATCATATTTTTGTAGAGGAATTTGAGACCCAGAAATGTTAATAACTTGATTTTCTTGGTCGTGCTAGAGATTGAAGCCATAGTCTTTGCACTGGGTAATAGCCCCAGCCCTTTTTATTTCTTTATTTTGAGACAGTCTTGCTAAGACACCACGTTGCTCAGGCTGGACTTGAATTTATGATCTGATCCTCCTACTTCACCCGCCCAGAGTGCTGGGATTATAGGCATGCATCACCATGCCTGGCACAAATGTTAGTAACCTGAGAATGGTTACTTTGAAAAGCCTTATACAGTTGGAATTCCAACCTGGATAGTTTCTACACATTCATTTTGTACAGCAAAATATGAAAATGACTTCAGGTTTATCATGGTTATCTACTGTACTTGAAGTTGGAAAATCCAGGATTATAAGTGTACGTCAAAAGTTTTATGCCTCTATTCTTTAAAAATTTAATTTTTATTAGTGCATGTTTGCAGTAGTGACAGCATTCATCGTGGGGAGCTGGTACAGGTACATAACACATCTCAGCTCTTTCCACATCCCCTTTCCTCCCTCCCTGTGGCCTCCATCTCGGTCCCCTTCCCATTTGCAAAGGATCTACCTCCCAGTTTCCTATTACCTATTTCTTAAAAGAGATTTCATTCTTCTAAATCAATGACTTGTTACTGGCTTTAGGTTGACACTCAGTACCCTTAATGTAGTTTAACACATCTGCCATGAAGTGGTCCCATCATAGATCGTAAACAACTCTCATCACTCTTGCCTCTGTTTCTCTATTCTTCTTAGACTGGGTTCCTGTAATCCTTCAGGCGCTCACTCAGGCTTTTTCACCAGTGCACCTTTTTTTTTTGGTGTTTTCAGGAGCGCTCTCCCTTGGTATCACTAAACTGGCTAATTGGGCTCGTTTGCAGGTCTCAATTGAAGCCTCACTTCTTTCAGAGTAATTTTCTGAAAGACCCTGGGCAAATTAAGTATTTATGTGAGTTCACAGCATTCAGTACTTCCCTTTTACATTCAGTGATTACTATTCAACATCCATGTCAAGTAGGAATCTCCACTGAGGGCAGGAAACCACGCCTGCTTTTCTGAGAGTTACATCTTCAGTGTACATGTACAGTGCCTGGTGCACTATGAATATTTCAGTTAGTAAAACAAATTGTGTGATTTTGTTGGAATCCAATAATGAGATTGAAACTACTGAAAAAAGTATTTAACATACTCTAATTCCTTGTCTCTTGTTTTAAAAATCCGCTTATAAGGGGCTGAGGATTTAGCTCAGCGGCATAAGCACCTGCCTTGCAAGCATGTGGTCATGAGTTTGATCCCTGGTACTGGTAAAAAAAAAAAATTCGTTTATACGTTTTGCTTTGTTTTTAGTTTGGTTTGGTTTGGTTTGAGATGGGTTGCTATATAGTTCAGGCTGGCCTTGAACTCTCAGCAGTCCTGCCTCAGCCTCTGAAGTGCTGATCACAGCACTGTTGGGTGGCGCCTTACCAGGTTATTCATACACTCTGTATTTTATTTTTCTGTGATGTAATAGGTTAAGCAAGAAATACATGTTACAGACCTGGGCGTGGTGGCTTATGCTTGTAATCCCAGCACTCAGGAGACTGAGGCAGGAGGATCGTTGTGAGTTTGAGACCAGCCTGGGGTACAAAGTGAGCTCAAGGCCAGCCTGAACTACATAGCGAGACCCTGTCTCAAAAAGACAAAAACAAAAACAAAAAAACATGTTACAGTGGTACTATTTTGTGTGGCTTTTATAAAAGGAATTATTTTGAGCAGCTGGAATTGATAGCCTGCATTTTGTCCTTCACAGGTGGAAGTTTTGTGATACTCTTTTACAGACACAGTCTGATGAAGAATATTCTTATCCTGAACTAGTGAAAGTAGTTTGGTATAAGGGTATTACATACAGGTAAGGGCGCCTGTATTGGAGAGGGGCTGCAACTAGCCCTACAGAAAGATTCCCAGAAGAGGACACAGTTCTGTGTCAGCTGTGCTCCTTTATTTCATCTTGAATCTTATAGATTACAAAACTAATTTTATTATTGTACACCAGAGCCTTGTAATTCACATTAACCATCTTTAACTTAAGTGGCAACTCTGAAGTCAGTGGAAGGTCAGTATTGCTAGTGAATGTAATATTCCTGTCAGTTATTTACAGTGTATCAAATTGTACTACTTGTCTGAATTAACCAGATCACCATATTATCTATTGAGTGTAGAATTGGAGAAGAGTTCAGATTGTCTAAGGAAGATTTTTAGTTTTCATTCAAAGCAAAGAGTTACTGAATTGGGTTCTGTGGGCCAGTGCTACTCCATAAATACAGTGTGTGTGTCTCTAGTGATTGCAGTGCTGGTGTTGGGAGGATTGAGAGTTTCACTTACATGAATAATGCTAGAACACTGCTAAGTTTTTTATTTTGGTTTGGTAGAGAGGGGCTCTGCTCTCCTCTTGCATCAAAACTCATCTCTTTCTGGCAACATAGTTTTCAGTTTTTACACATATACACCATTGTAGCTGGCTACTCCAGATATACTTGTTCACCTGCTTTTGCTGATACCGCCTTGCATGGTGATTAGTCTCTTCTATTAGGTATTGATTATACTACAGAGTAATCTTATTTTCTGGTCCTACAAGTCCTGTATTTAACATAAGAGTAATAGACATAGCTTCGATGACTGTTTATGTGCCAGCCCCTGTGACTAGCCAGTGGGGTTACCAAGAGGATGATAAGGTGCCTGATTTCCAAAAGCTTTAAGCTTAGTTGTTAAACACACAAACTATTGCTTGTGTTCATCCTTTGCAAAAAAGTTATTTTAGCTGGTTTGGTTCCAAATATGAAATAATCTACTTATGACTGCCTTTGTATATATTTTCAATTTGGAAAAAAAATGTAACTATTATGTCTTCTCTTTAGGCTTACTCATAAAAATGTGAACTCAATAGAGATTTATCCTGGAGATGGATCTGTTTTAAAATCAGAAGGAGCTTACCTGGGGAAATATTTTACCTGTTATTCCTATCGAATAGGAACAGAAGAGGTAAGCCAACTATCAGATCCCAACTCAAGGAGAGTCTTCTACATTGTTTTTAAATTTAGAATATATATGGGAAATTTATATAACATTGCTTCTTGCTGTTTTGTCTGGAGAAATAATGTCATCTTACATTTAGTACTGACACCTAGTTAATTTAACACTGAACCTTTTACTATATTCTCATCCACTACTATCTGTTAGCCTAAGCAATTCATGTTTAAATTAGAATCTAAATTTCTTGTCATAAAATGTATTAATATAAAACTCTAAAACCAGAAGCATTACTTTGAGCCATTACCACTGATTCATTACTTGCAAATTCAGAAGCATGTTTTTCTACCATGAAATTGTGTATTTTAAGTATCTCTTTATATGCAACTATATATGTTGAAAGCACTAAAACATGTTGTACTTACCAGACCATGTAATGATAATGTGGATACTAAGATTTAAGTTGTTTGCTGCCATCTGACATTTGATGTCCATACTTTTATAGCAATCATCATAATAATACACTATTTTGGGCCACGGAGTGAGCTCAGTGGCATAAGTGCCTGCCTGGCAAGCACAAGGCCGTGAGTTCCATCCCTGGTACCAAAATAATAATGATGATGACAACAAAAATACACTACTTTACTTCTTAGGTTAGAACAGAATAAATGTTTTCTCTCTGTGTTACAGATTGGAGTTCTTAACTAATAAGGTTATTAGAGTCACTGGGGAGAAGAATTCAAGCTGGAGTGAACTCTTTTTAACTATGGAAAATTTCAGACCCACAAAAGTAGAAAGACAGAGATCCCTAGGTACCCATTGCCCACTTGTTCATCTGTACTTCCCGTTGCCTCTTCTACTTCCTATTTATTATTAATTAAATCCCAATTTTACGTGTAACTATTTCAGTATGTGTTAGAGCAGGTCCTCCGTTCAAATCTATCTGTAGGAAAATGTTCATTTAAGAAGGACTAACTGAGCACCTACTCTTTAGCAGGCATTCTGGCGTATACTAGGAATGTTGAAAATGAAGAAGTCCGGCCCTCAAAAGGTTCAGAGTCTAGTGGTCTGTCAGAGAGACAAATCAGAAAATAAGATTGTGACCAAGTAATGCATATGAGTATGTGAGTGTGGCAGGCTTCAAGTCAGTGGGCCCCCAGGGTGGGTGTGGAAGTCACACTCATGACTGCACTGTATAAGGGAATTTGCACAGTTGCAAGGTAAATGTAGTGTATCTTCAGGGAGCCTCAATACTGCTCAAAGCTTTCAGGATGAAGTGATAATTTTTATATTGAAGCAAACATGGAGCAGAAGCATGAATTTTGGGGGAAAACACCAAACTTCCTACCAAGTGCTTGACTGCTTTAGGCTACACTGTTAGATTTAGGTCAACATTTTTTTCTTTCTGACTTGGTGAAAAGATTTAGAAACAATTGACTCTCTTTGGGATAAATCTGCTCCTTAAGCCAAAGTCCAAAGTCAGTTTCAGGTACATTAAATAATTAAATATAAAAAACCAAACTTTATAATCATTAGAAGAAAATACAGCTGGCCATGGTGACACACATCTCTGACTCCAGCACTTGGAGATTGAGGCAAGAGATTTGCCATCAGTTTGAGACCAGCCTGGGCTACATAGTCCCTGTTTCAAAAATTTTTAAAGAAAGTAGAGGGAGACCTTCTTAAGAACAATAAGAAAAAAAGCTTCAAGTTTGACAAGCTTGAAGTTTCAAATTTTTGTTACGTTTTAAATATTTAAAGTTTCTGTCAAGCCAGGCGTGGAGATGCATGCCTGTAATCTCAGCACTGGTGAGGCTGAGGCAGGACGATTGCTCTGGGTTTAAGGCCAGTCTCACTAATTAGTGAATTAGCCAGTCTAAATTACACAGCAAGACCCTGTCTCAAAAAAAAAAAAGTTTCTGTCAAAAAAGACAAAGACCTGGGAGAAAATATGTCATACTAAATGAGTTAATAACCTCCCCCCAATAAAACTCTTAATAGGGAAAGAGTGAAGGATAAGAAAAGGCAATATAAAATTTACAAAATCCTATATTTGATCATCTTATGTTTAGCTTTACTACTTACATTAGAGAAAAGCAAAAAAAGTAGCAGTTGGCATAGTATTTTTCACCTAACTAAAATTACCAAAATTTTAAAAAGATAATATCTATTGCCAAGAGAGGGTATGGGAAAGGGGTGCTTTCATAGTGTTGGTTGGAGTATAAATTGGTTCAGCCTTCTGAGAGGACAATTTGATAACATCAGTAAACTGATCAGAAATTCTGTTTTAAAAAGTTTGCATAACCTGCACATTGTAAGCTTAGTAAGAATCAAACTGGCAGCATGCATCCAGATCTATCTGATTTTGAAGGCCATCCCTGATGTGTGGGGCATATGCGTTTACCTCTGTGGTTCAAATTGGATCTGTTCTGCTTCTTATTGCAGTTTCCTCATCTAAAAACCAGGCAATAACTGTTCTTGCTTCAGAATTATTTTGAGGGTTAAAATCCATAAAGTACATAGCACAGCACGTATGACACACTCCACATGTTAGCTATTGCTGTGACAGTATTTATTGGGAACACAGCTGTGGACCTTCTGGGCTTATCTAAAGAAGAAATCAGGAAATCAGAAAAAAGACTAGAGACAGAGTCCTGGGAAATCCTAACAGGTCTGAGAAAGAAAATCCAGGAACAGTAATGAAATAACTTTAAAAAAAAAAAAATTCACAAACCTTAGCCTATAAATAATACTGTCTTTCACAAAGTATAGCAATAGTTGTTCTCTTAATAAAATGTCACAAAATAATATATACATTTAAAATAGTGACTTTTAAACTCATGTAGCCTTTCTTTATGTGACTTAGGTGATAAATTTCCTGTAATGTGTGAAAATTAGTTTGATTGCCATATAGTTGATGTATAGCCAAGATAAATTGGACAGTAAGTTACAAGCTATTAGAATGTAACTTTTTAATATGTAGCATTCAGTACTTTAAATTGATGGGACAGTGGAAAGGGGTCATGAAATACCATTAAAATACACACTTTTATGGGGCTTAGACTGTTAAAATAACTGTTGTCATTATGTAAATACATATTTTAACAAAAAGTTAACAAGGATCAAAATGTATTATTAATGAGATTTTTTCTTCTTTTTTTTTTTTTTTTCTTGGTGCCGGGGATCAAACTCATGACCTCATGTTTGCCAAGCAGGTACTTACACCGCTGAGCTGAACCCCTGGCCCCACTAATGAGATTTTTTATTTTAAACTAATTTTCAGAGAGAAGAGAAAACTTATTCAGTGAATAACCTTCCTCCAGATAGACCAGGAAGTCCGTTCTCTGTATGTTCTGTGATTAAGGAAGCAACCAGGTAATTTCTTCACGTTCAACTAAACTAAATGGTATACACCTGAAAACCTTGATGCATTTTCTTGTGGGTAAGGGTAGGATTAACAATTGATAGTAGCTGGGTGTGGTTGCACATGCCTATAATCCCAGCTCTCTGGGAGGCTGAGATAGGAGTATCCCAAATTCTAGTGAAGCCTGGGTAATTAGCAATGTGGTGAGACTTAGTCTCAAAAAATTAAAAAAAAAAAAAAAAAAAAGGATTGGGAATGTAGTCTGTGTGAAGTCTGTGGGCTCAATCCCCAGTCTGAAAAAAAAAAAAAAAAAACACTTGGAAATTCTCTCCCTGGAGTCATTTCAGTGTCAGAATTTAGAAGAATAGCTCTACCTAGCTGAGATTAGCACAGAGGGAAACAAAAGTAGTTGGCTTCTATAAATTTATGGATTCTTTGAAGAAAAATATTGCCACGAGTCTCTAGTACATTTCGGTAAAAGCCAGTTACTTGCCATCTAAATTGTTAGACAGTAACAGTTGAGGATGGATTGGTAGTATAGGAATGTGTTATTTGCAAATGTCTAATGTTTCTATTTCATGTTAACAGAATTCTTCAACACTGTGCCAAGATGAGGCTTTCTCTAAGCCATAACTACCATATATGCTGCTGGAAAATGGTATATTAAAAGTATTTCAAAAGCAAAATTTTAAAAATTGTTTTATTTGTGTCCATATTTCTAAGTTCAGATTGCTGTCATCTGAGTGATACAAGAAAATCTGTAACATTAATATTCATTGATTGCCAGGTGTGGTGGCCCATGCCTGTAATCCAAGTACTCGGAGGCTGAAGCAGCAGAATGGCTATGAGTTTGCGGCCAGCCTGACCTGCATAATGAAACCCTGTCTCAAAAAGACAAAAAAAAAGTTGTTTATTTCAAATCATATTTACCTACTAGACAAACAGTGAAGTCAGGCCTTTGTGTTCAGCCTTTCCCTGCCCATCCCCTGCCCCACCCGTGCTCCCTCCCTTCCCTTTTATTATGCTTTTATTGCTTATAGTTTTTCTTTCATGTTAGGCTTTGATTGCATATGGTTTTCCTTATTGGATATGTGTCTGCATAGTACTTCTGATGGAACCTGGGACTTCCCAGATGCTAAGCCTCCGTTCTACCACTAAACTATAACCCCCAGCCTAGTGTATTTAGTTATTAATGGAAGGGAAAACAGGAAAATTGATTAGATTTAAAGTATACCTAATTTTTGCCTGTTTTCTACCTAATGCTCAAAGATATACATTAGCTTTATAAACATTAATACTTAATCAGCTTGTAAAACACTGTCGTTACCATTTCTGAAAAAAACAACTTCTACAATACTAAACTGGATAAGAATCTGAAGTTGCCTCAGAATTCATTAAAGTTCATTTAAATTTTGTTAATAAGTAACTTTATTCCTTGTTACTATATTTGTTCATTTGGTTTTAGCTACCTGGAATAAATGATAGCAGTGTACTGCCTTTGCTTTTGAAAGAGTCACTTGTATCCAATGTGGGAAGATTTCTTGCCTACTCTGATAACAAAGTACATGCTATCTTTTTAAATGGCATCACTTTAACCTTGAATTGGAATTTCAGCTCTTCTGTTGAAAAAAGACAGGTTAGTATACTTCAGAATGAAATCTATTTTTTATGTGTAGTAAGATTTATTGGAGCATTTTATAATTGACACAAAAATTGTACATATTTAGAGAGGTATTGTGATGTTTTGATACAGCAAATGCTGTACAGTTCATATCGGGATACATACATCTTCTCAAACATCATTTCTTTGTGCTAAAAAGATTCAAAATTCTATCTTTAAGCTTTTTTGGAAATATACAGTAGCCTTTTACCTATGGTCAGAAATAAATTTTTGTTAGTTATTTATCTATGGAAGACAACAAAGACAATAAAGTACCACATTATCTCAAATTATTTAAATTATTTGTCAAGTATTAACTTAGGTGTCAAGTATAAAATCTGTGAAGAGGCTTTACTAATTTCATTGTATTTCCTAGCAAAAATCAGAATAGTGTGACAAATAGTCATTTGTGTAAAGATAACATTATAGTGAGGGGGGTATTTTTATTTTCTTTGATCGTTATCTATATGAGTGGTGGTTAATAACCATGTTAAAATAACTTGTTAATGAATCAGCTACTGTTTAAATTGGTAAGTCAAAAAAAGTGATTATGTTTTTGTTCTCAGTTTTGGAATAATAAAACTTACCTTCCCTCCTTGCTTCCTAAGGTAAATCAAGGTCCCAGCTTAGGTTGGTGTAGGTTAACTTTTCCTGATGGGCAAGATCAGTTAATTCAAATTGAACACCCTGGACCATATGAAAGGTACTAAAAGCAGTTCTTTTAAAAAAAAAAAAAAAAAACCATCATTTTGGGGTTGGGGATGTAACTCTGATAAGGTGCATGCCTAGCATGCATAGCTTATGGGTTTGATCTCAGCACTGGCCACTAAAAAATTAGTATCATGTTTTGATAGAAGCAGCATTATAAACATTATTTAAATGTTATATATTTTCATTTTTTCTGTGTGGATAATGTGAATGAAGTAATTTAATCAGGCTCCAGAGGTTTCTGTTCTTCTGGTGTTTAACACAACTAAATAAATCAGGACATTAATCATTTCCTTGTATTCAAACTGATATGTCATATAGACTATAGAGATTGGATGGTGATCAGATGTGTTAGCTAATTAATTAATACTGATCTCATAAACAATTTGAGGTAAAGTTTGAAACCATAAAAAGCTATAATTGTATGTATTTCTAGAAAGTAAAAAATATCAAATGAAAATAGTAGCTGATAATTCTTTTTTTTTTTTTTTTAATTTTGGTACCAAAGATTGAACTCATAACCTCACACTTACCTGGCAAATGATTGAACTGCTAAGCTAAATCCCAGACAGTATTTGATATTCTTAAAAGGGCAAAGTTTCTTCCTGGTTTTTTGGTGTTATTTTGTTTTGTTCTTTTTGAGACAGGGTCTCACTACGTAGTTCAGCCTGGCCTTGAGTTCACTTTGTAGCCCAGGTTGGCCTTAACCTCATAGCAATCCTCTTGTCTCAGCTTCCCAAGTGCTGGGATTGTAGGCGTACACCATCATGCTCAGCTAAACAGAGTTTCGTAAAATCAGTTTTCGGAATATGCTTTTTTTGTTTTGGTTTATGTAATTTTCTGGTAATTCTACTTCTAGTCTTGAAATTTTAGTGAGTTTACATTTTACTTGAAGTTCACACAAGCACTGCCTGTTTTACTTCCTAAATTTATTTTTCTGTTGGGTTTTGTTTTGTTGTTTATTTTGAGTCGGGGTCCCACTGTGTAGCTCAGACTGACCTCAGACTTGCAGCAATCCTCCTTGTGCTAGGAATCTGTTGGTCTTTAATGCTATTTGGTCTAAATGCTCTAACATTCCACTGCTATTGAATAATTTACCTCAAAAAGATAGTTTCTTTGCCAAGTATTACTATTTGTTTCAGCTAGTCACTTTAGATAATTCATTTAATTTCATGCTTTTTGTATATGTAGTTATATATAATCATAAATATGTATATATGTATGTATAATGTATGCATTAATGGGTGTTTTTTGGTTTAAATTTTAATAAAAAATTTTAATGAATGCACACAATCTGAGGTGTGATGGCATTTTCATGAAAAAACAAGAAAACTCATTTTACTTTGAAAAACTAAAAATAGACTTTAACATTTGAATTGATCTTTAAATGAAATCTAAGTATCACTTTTGTTTTGACTTTTAAATGTCATCTTTATTAGCCACAGATGTGAGTAAATCATTGTATTCTTGGTGAATAATGAAAAAAGCTTGTCTTTTCTATTGAAAGGGTTTTAGAAAATTAACCAGTAAATGCTCACTTAAATTTTTTTTCCAGATTATCTTAACTGCTGTTCCATTTTTATTACATGTGCAGAATGAATACAGTTCATTTTTACATTTATTTTATTTTTATTTAATTATTTAGTTGGTTGTGGGGGTTTTTTGTTTGTTTTGTTTTGTTTTGCAGTTCAGGCTGGGTTTGAACTCACTTTATAGTCCAGGCTAGTCTGAAACTCATGGCAATCCTCTTGTCTCAGTGCTGGGATAATGGGCATGTGCCACCATGCCTGGTTTCACGTTTTTTTAATGTGTTCATTCTAGATATGTGACAGTAGTGACATCATGGTGCCGAGGACTGACTCAAACAAGTTCAAGAGAGATAATTGCACGCCCTTCATCTGCTATTCTTGAAGAAAACTGGTATTTGTATTTCTTTTAATCTGTGCTCGAATTAACTAATATTTAAATAAGTTTCAAATGGTAAACTCTGAAACATTTTTCCAAGAAAACTTTCAGCTTAAGTATATTTTACTGGGGCTGGAGATTTAGCTCAGCGGCATAAGCACCTGCCTTGTAAGCAGGCAGTCGTGAGTTCGATCCCCGGTACCAATAAAAAGGAAAAAGACCAAAAAAAAAAAAAAAAAAAAAAATATATATATATATATATATATATATATATATATACATTTTACTTCTATGTTTATGATACCTTAAGCTTGAAAATAATTTATTTCTAATAAGATACCTAATTTGTTATGTGTAATCATGTGTCAACTGAAGGGGAAAAAACTTTATTGAAAATTTTATATCAAAATGAGTGGTTTGTGGGACTAGGGATTTAACTCAGCAGCATAAGCACCAGTCTGGCAAGTGTGAGGTGAGTTCAATCCCTAGTACCCAAAACAAAACAAAAAAATGAGTGGTTTGTATAATAAATTGAAACCTTTATGGAAAAATTCAAAGGGGAGTCTTAAAATTTTAGTAACATTAAAGGAAATGAAATGTTGCCTGTGTAACTTTTCCATTGCTGTGATAAAATACCTGGGGAAACTAACTTACGGAAGAAAGATTTATCTGGCTCACAGTTTTAGAGATCAGTTCCATGGTTAGCCGGCTCCACTGCTTGTGTGCCAGGATGCATGCAGAAACATGGAGGAAAGGGTATAGTGTGGTGGAGCAAAGCTGCTCACCTCAAGAGCCAGAGAGCTGGTGCTCGTTGGCTTCCTCCTGCTTTTGGTGCATCTGAGCCTACACCTCTTGGGTGGTGCCTCCCACAGTTAGGGCAGCTCTACCCCTGCAATTTGCTGTCCCACGTGCCAGTGGTCTCTCGGAGTACTCTCACATGCAACCCAAGAAGGGGCTTTACTCATTTCTTAGGAGTTTCTCAACCTTAATCAAATTGACAGTCAAAATTAAACCATCATATTGACTTGACAAAAGCTTTCTGAAATTGCCTTTTAAACAAGTTGTCTTATTATTATCCCCCTTCCCCTACCCATTTACTGGCAAATTAACCAGTCAATCAAATGAAAGCCTGTGTACCTTTCATTTTCAGGAAACTAGAACTGAGCTTTAAAAAAAAATGTAGAAAAATAAGAGGCCTATAAAGATGGTGAAAAGGTAATTTTTATGAAACAAATGCTACCTGCTAGGAAATAGTATGAGTTTGATGGCTAGGAATGAACCTTGAATTATACAGGTGTTAAGACTTGATGGCAATACAAGTTCCTAAATGGAAAAATGACAGGAAGAAGGCTCATTCAGAGGATTAATATTACTGACAGTATAATCTGAACATACTGGGAAGGATACCTGGAAAAATTTAGAAACCTTTTAATACAGATTGGGAAGTGACCTAACATGGGTTTTATAGCCATGTACAATTTCCCTTTGTTCACAACTATTTTTTGTTACCAAGAATTTTCTGTTCCCAAACAGGGTACAGCTGAAGGACTTTTAAAAAAGACATTAGGCTTGATTCTTTTTTAAAAATTATTTAAAACTTTATACATTTTTGCAGTACAGTTGTTGTGGGGAATCAGTACATGTACATAACACATGTTAATTCTTTTTACTTCTCCCCCTCATCTCATGGCTCCTTACTCATTTGCACGATATCTATCTCCCTGTTTCCTACTATCTTTTATCTTGCTCTTTAAATTATTTATACTTCAGGGCTGGGGATTTAGCTCAGCGGCATAAGCACCTGCCTTGCAAGCAGGCAGTCATGAGTTCGATCCCTGGTACCGATAAAAAAGGAAAAAGTCAAAAAAAAAATTTTATTTATACTTTGAGTTTCTCATATAGGAAACTGTGCAATGTTTAAACTTTGTGTGTCTGATTTACTTCACTTAATGTTTTTGTCTCAGGGTGCACCCATTTTCCTACAAAACTCCTTTGTAGCACAATGTATCACATTTTCTATATCCATTCATCTGTTGATCAACATATAGGTCTCTTCCAGTATTATGAATTATGCTGCTGTATACATGGGTATGTATGTACCACTGTAATACAGTGTCTTTAACTCTTTTGGGAAGGTATCTAGAAAGGAAATCGTTTGGTCCAGTTAAGTCTCTTACCACATTTTTGAAGTTATTCTTAGAGCAAATCCAATCAGTATGTGTTGAGTATCTCAAGTATCTAAGGATCCAGCTTTCCAGCATCTCATCCTTCAGCTGTACCCTGTTTGGGAACAGAAAATTCTTGGTAACAAAAAATAGTTGTGAACAAAGGGAAATTGTACATGGCTATAAAACCCATCATCATTGCTCAGCTGACAAAGTTTATAAATTGGCAGCTTCTTTACATAAAAGCTCAAAGACATACTGAAATGTGATAGTGCAGACTGGTGATAGCTGCTATGGCTGGACGGAAGGGGGAAGGAACAGCAGAGAGTAAGGTAAAGACTCAAGGAGTAGTTGTTTCATTTCCCTTGCAAAATCTAAGACACCTCCCCTGCGATTTGTCTTGTCAAAGAGAATAGGTTGAAAGAAGAGATTGTGCAATGAACAGATACTTAAATTGTAGTTAATTTTTCCATTTCTTTCACCATTATTAGCTTACTGATTCAATTTTTTAAAAATAATGTTAATCAGATGAGTATAGAACCCACCACCTGGGAGGCTGAAGTAGAATGATCACAGATTAAAGGTGTTTTGCCATGATAAAGAATCAGTAGACTTTAGAGTAAATCATATCTAATTTCTTTTCCCTGGATGCTTAAAATATGAAAAATGTCTTTCTTTCATTCACTACCTGTCTTACTGTTTTGTTGCTGAGAAGAAATACCTGACACCCAAAGTTAAGGGAGGAAAGGTGTATTTGCCTTCCAGTTCATACAGGTTTCAGTGCAAGTTGGCTGGCTCCAAGACAGGGTGGCCATGGCAGAGGAGAAACAGTTCATTGCAGGCAGAAGACAGCAAAAGCAAGCAAGGGACCTTCACAGTTTGTTTTGCTTTGTTTTTTGCCCCCTTTAAATTCTCTTTAGGCTACCAGAATTAAAGTGGGCCAAACCAATCAGTGGGTTGATTTAGTAATCACATGCCCTTAATCCTAACGCCCTTAACTCCTAGCACTGCACTATTGCATGAATCGGTCACACACTCTAAATTCACCCCCTCTGATAAAAACCCACCTATGACTGTATGGGGCTTTGGGAGGACCTCCAAACACAAGTCGTAAGACCATCCATAGGCTGGAACACAAGGGAGAAACGCTGCAAATTGACAAGAGGTGCATGTGGTCCATTGTAGTAAAGCCAATAAAACATACAAGCGGCATTCCTTTGTGAAAAGACTTTTCTAGTGACATGAATAAAGAGGTGTTTTTAGACAGATGTCCTCATTAATTTTTCATAGCAATAGTCAAGATACATTATAGTTGATGGCACAATCAGTATATGAGCATCAGAAAGTTATAGCTCAAGAGAAAATATTACAAATAAGCATATAATTGAATAACACTGCTACAAAAATTCAAGAAAGGAGAGATAGTTTCTGTAAAAGCACAAAAGGGATGGGATTTTAGTAGGTTTTAAAGTTGTAGTAAACCTTAGGGCGGAAAGTATCTGGTGTGCCAGGTAAGTACCTAAAGCAAGTCCATTACCTTTGAATATCAGTACTTAAATGCAAAGTCCTTGTGGTGGGGACTTTTATTCTTTTACTTTTAAAAGCACTCAGTAAATATCAGTTGAATCAAGTTGATTTGTTGCTAATTAAATCTAATATAAAGAGAATTCTTAACTTTTATGTTCATCCATTTAAAATCCTAACCTTTATTTAAACAAAAAAAGTCAAGTATGCTTATTTGAAATTTGAAGGTTGATATGGTGGCAACACACATATATATAATATATATGGTCTAGCACACTGGAAGACCCAAGCAAAAGAATGAAAAGTTTGATTTAGCAAGATCCTGTCTCCAAAAACATAAACAAACACAGTTTGTGAATATAAAAGAATGAAACAACTAGCATAAACTTACTTTTATTTCTTGCACAGGTCTGTTGCTTCTGAACTCGAAAAGATACAGAAGTTTAACTGTATCCTTAGAACGTATTGAATGTCTTGGGTTTAAATTTGGCAAAGAATGATTAACCTGGATTAAGATCTCCTGTGAAGATTCTTTCACATATATTTATACTCTACATTTTATCTGTGAAGGCCTATCTCTTTTTCTTTACAAAAGCTTTCCTTCTGTACATTCTCACCCAATTTATCTAAATTTGTTTTCATGTGGTTTTCTATAATTTTACCCAAATGATAAAGTAGTTCTGTAACAAGGGACAGATTTTGTTTCACTCTACATCTTTTAAATTAAAAAAGACACTACACAGATTGCTTACAGTGCTGTCATCCCTACAATTGTTCCTTCTTATTTTCAAAACAATTCTGTTTATTTGAAGAACATTAAGAAATGTTAAACTGGGCATGGTGACCTGGACCTGTAATACCAGCACTCCAGAGACTGAGGCAGGTCCGAGACTTGAGAGTTCAAGACCAACTTGAACTATATAGTAAGATCCTGTTTCAAAAAGCCAAAAAAAAAAAAAAAAAAAAGTTACTAAGAATATAATTCTTTTATTTCCTCTCTATCCTCTTTCCCTCCCATCCAAACACTTATGTACATACTTTTTCTTGCTACACTGTACTGTGACAATATTCCTTATCTATTGGTAGACTCCATAAATTCTGAAGTCCAAATTCTATTCCAAATTCAAGAGATCGTCCTTGCAATTGATAATATTTTAATATGAAAGCCAGGTGGGGTTTTTTTTTTGTCTTTCCTTTTTATCGGTACCGGGTATCGAACTCACGACTGCTTGCTTGCAAAGCAGGCGCTTATGCCGCTGAGCTAAATCCCCAGCCCCAAAAGCCAGGTTTTTTGAAAATAAAAATATTTACATAATGAAAAATATGAGGGAAAATTCTTTAACTAAGTCAGTGTTACTAGAGAACAGTGATGTCCTAAACTACACTTCAAGCAAGAAAAATGAACTGTCTTCTGATTCTTCAGAAAACCTGTTAGAATTTAATGAGAAGCGAGTATCATTGGCATTGAAAAAAACTTCTGAAATCCTTCAGGATATTGATTATCTTCTATCAAACTCCAAAAAGTGAAAGATGGAATAAATACATTATTAAATTTAGGAGGGGTTTTTCAAGTTACTTTTATAAAATTATTAGTAAGTCTAGAAACTGGATATATTCTATATAGCGGTTGAGAACTGACATTTAATGTTGATTGTATTTTACCTAATAAATTTTTAAAGAACTATCATGAAATTGTAAGTTTATTTCATTTCTTCAGATGAGGACAAACATAAAATTAGAAATTTTTGCTGCTTTTATGTTGTGGAACATTCACTATTAGTCTTCAAGTTTATTTTTTTTTTTTTAGCATGCATAATTATGATTTGGCCATTTCCTGCTTAGTCTCTCTACTCCACAACTATTAAAAAAAATGGATCTCAAAAAAGAAATAAAGAACCTGATCAACATCCATATTTCAAGCTAAGTAAGGATCAAAGACTTCAACAAACAACCAAGTTCTATTTAAAATATGGATTTTCATTTCTTTTGAACATATGAAAAGATTTATACTGCAGAATGTGAAATTGAGAAATGAGGTTATTGAAAAATGCTTTCTGTGGGACACATAAAACTGCACATCTGAAAAGACATCGTTTTCTAATTTTCTGCTTTAAATAAAAGACCAGGCTTTTAAACAAAAAGAAGCAGTAGGAGACATGAGAACAATGGAAAGATCTGGGGTGGTGGTGTCAGAGTTGAATGGCAAAAGTGGCCTCTAAGCTTCTCTCATTCTTGGTTCCTTCCCATTTTAGGCCTCAGCAGGAACATAACTTCTTCAGCGAGGCCTCCCCAACTATCTGAGCCATTAGCCTCCCAGCTCCAATCATCCAGTTTATGTTTATTTCCTCCATAGTACGTGCTATGTAACAGTCCAGCTTGTTTCCTTGAGGTCAATAACCTGTACTAGAACTTCAACTCCACGAAGTCATTTTGTGGTCTTAGCACCACAGTGCCTGGCATAAATGGATCCTGCCTTTAGTCGATAGACTATAGAAAAAAGTAAAATTTTTTTTCTGCTTGCTTTGCAGTAAGTCATCTACCTTGTTCCTAGACTGGGATGTACTATCCTGCCACAGAGATGTTCAGACTGAAAATTGGTCCTTAATATTACTGAACAACCTCTATACTGTAGTGTGACAAGTAAAAGTTATTTTAAAAACCTGAAGAATAAATAGCCCATGAGTCTACTTCTGAGTTTAGATTTTAATTTTCCATGTATTGTGTTGGGGATCAAACAACTTCACGCTTACCAGGCAGGCGCTTGTGCCACTGAGCTATATCCCAGGTCCTTTCTATGTTTTTTTTTTTTTTTTTTTTTACTAACAATAATTAATACTCCACTGCTGGCTTGCTGTCTGACACCTGTTTTCAGAAAACTTAGGAAGAGGAAAGAGTGCCTTTTTGGGCTGGTGGTCATTAAGGCCCAATATGAAGCTCCTGTCTCCTTGGTGCTAAGACAGCAACCCACCATTGTGAGGCAGGGAGATGGAAGAATCTAAGTCAGATTCCGGCGCGCAACTAGTCAGACGAGTTGCTCTGCACCGTAAGTGCAGTAGACACTTCATCTCCTAAACATTCAGTATTGCTGATGAGAGATCTGGCCACGTCGCTGCTGTCCAAGGGAGAGAGAAGCTCTGACACCCATCACCGTCGTTATCAAGAAGTCCCCAAGGGGGCGGTGAAGCGCTACTGAACAACTTCGGGCCCAAGTTTGCCCCGAAAACTCCACATGACGCTGGAAATACTCTACACTTTCGAGAAAAACTAGACTGTGTTTGGGCTATCTCCAACTTCCTGGCCGCCTAGGGCTCCGTGGTGGGGAGGTCTGCGGCTCTGTGAGTAGGCACGGACCAAGTCAAGAACTAAATCCTCCGGCTACACTTCTCATTGTGACGTCCAGCGGGCCCTTTTCGGAGATACGACTGAAAACTCCTGGAACTAACGCGCTGAATTTAACAGTTCCAAGTATCGACGTAGTCCAACTCGGAGTCGGGTCAGTATCCCGGCTGTATCCCCGGCGTCTCTATGGTGCTGGCCGAGGGGTCAGTATCCCCTCTCGGCGGACGCCGCGGATAGGCCGCTCCGGCCGGCGCCCGGCGTCTCTATGGTGCTGGCCGAGGGGCGGGGCCGCTGTTGGCGGGGGCCGCTTGCTTCAGCTGTGTGAACCCGGGGTCCGTACGGCTTGGGCGGCTGCAAGATGGCTGCCGGGCGGGAGCGGGGCCGCACGGACGCTGCATCTCCTTGCGCTCTGAGGAAGGTCGGAGGCAGGGCCCACCCGAAACTCAAGTTTGGAGGTCGGGTTGCGGGTGGGAGGGCCATGCGGGGAGGGCAGGAGCAGACAGGCTGTGCGCCCCCTGGGCGGGCGGCGTCCTGACTCCCAGGGTCTGCGCGGAGCCCGGTTTCTCGGGGCTGCTTGTAGACCGGCGCGTTGCCAGCCTTGGCCGGGCTCCGCACGCTTGGCGCTACCCAGGGCAGGAGGAGGAACTACAGCCAACCATCCCCAACGGGTAGACATCCCTTTGCGCCCCACGTTCTCACAGACTACAGTGCTGTGCAAAAACAGTCCCCGCAGACTCCAGGGCTTTCTGCACCATTGTAACTCGACGCTCTCAAAATTATTGCATCGTACCATCCTTAGAAACGCATGCCTTTGAGAATTTGCCGAGAGTTGCAACACGTCGAGACTAAGAATTATATATTCTGTTTGCAGTGGTGATAGGAACTCCATTTTATGCCCAGAGATCTCATGGCTATAAAAAGTTCAGAGAAAGTGAACTTTGATAATTATCTGCACTAGACATGGCACAAACATTGATATTTTAACATTAAAGAAATTAAATGTGTTTCACAGCAACTACAGTTCAACAAAGTGTACTTTAAAAAAATAATTGTTTGGGGGGTTGTGCTTTTATCTCAAGTTTTTGTAAGTAATTTGTGACCTTAATAGGGAGGAGGGGATATTAAAGCAGAAGATGACATTTACGTTGAGAATTTTTTATTTTAGCAGAAGTAACAGCAGAAATAACAATGAACAGTACATGATAGCATGCAATTAAAATGACTATGTTTTCATAGAGTTAAGGAAAGGGAATTACTACTTTGTATGCTTTGAAGGCCCCATGGTTGATGGCATTTACTTTAAAGGGAATGATGGAGACAAATTTGGCTGGTGTAGAAAGTGGCTTCTGCAAGTCATAGATAAAAATTGGTATGACTGATTGTAATGGTAGAAAAATAATTCTGGATAATATGTTTAGTTCTTTTTTTTTTTTTTTTTTTTTTTTTTTTTGTCTTTTTCTTTTTTATCAGTACCGGGGATCGAACTCACGATCACACACTTGCAAGGCAGGTGCTTATGCCGCTGAGCTAAATCCCCAGCCCATATGTTTAGTTCTTAATCAGAAGATTGTGTATGTGCTTACCCCTTGTATTAGTATAATAAAATATTAAGTACCATGAATACATTAGAATTTATGCACCAATTTAAAAGAAAATTATATTGCACTTAAACTTTTTAACAAAAGTAAATGTGTAAAACAAGCATAAAGCTTAGGAGTTTTTAGCAAGGCTTGGAATCTATTTTATTTGTAGAGGAAAAGAGAAAGTGGAAAAGGAAGAAAAAAGCTTAAGAAAAATGGTACACATAGATGTCTGTATCAGTCCATTTTTCGTTATAATGAAATACATGAGATGTTAGCATTATTTTTTTAAAAAGTTTATATAGGGGCCTGGGGATTTAGCTCAGTGGCATAAGTGCCTGCCTTGAAAGCAGGCAGTCATGAGTTTGATTCCCGGTACCGATAAAACGGAAAAAGATAACGAAAAAGAAAAAAAAAAAAAGTTTATATAGCTCACAATTTTAGAGAATGAAAGGTAAGTCCTCTTAGTTCTAGTCAGTACTTTTCAACTGTATCCCATGACATTGGATGGCAGTAGCACAACTGATCATATCTCAATACAGTGTAGGAAGCCAAAGTGCTGAGTGGGCCCAAGTTCAGGCCATCATAATCTTTTTAATGACAACTACCAAGGGGGCCACAAGAGAACTACCCTAATCTGTTAAAAGGGCAGGCGCTCCAGTGACCCAAGAACCAGTTGCACAAGACCAGACCTCTTAAAAGATCCCAGTACTGTGCCTCCCAATGCTGCCACCCTGGGGAGGCAGCTTCCCAATACATGAATGCTTATGAGTGACATCCAAATCATAGCAGTGTTCTACTCAGAGACTAATTAATACAAGAAGTACACTACTTATGTTACCACTTTTTATGTTAAATCTTTCTCATCTCATCTCACAGATGTTAAATATCTACACCAGAGGGTGGAGTGGAATGCCTTCCAGAAATGTGTTCCTGAAATCACAGTTACACCTTCTTGAAAACAAATAGTACTGTTTTAAATACTGTCGCTGCGTAACATATCACACCAAAATTTAGAGGATTATGACAGTAAACAGGTATTATCTCATTCTTTCTGTGGGTCTTTGAAAGAGTTTAGCTAAGTGATCCTGGCCCAGGGACCTATGAAATTGCAGTTCAGATTTTGGCAGAGGCTGCAGGCATTCTAAAGACTTGATTGGATCTAAAAGATCTGTTACCAAACTCATACATCAAGCAAGTTGTTTTGTAATTTACATTTATAAAATGCAATTGGTCTTTTTTATGTTGTATAATTTGCATTTATAAGATATTTATGTTTTATAATTTACATTTGTAAAATGCATTGTCTATGTGTATGTGTTCCTATTCATAAACTAGTGTTAACTTTCCATCACAATGACAAAATACCAAGACAGATTAACTTAGACCAAGGAAAGGTTTATTTTGACATAGCTGCAGAAATTTCAGTCCAGGGTCACTTGGGCCTCTCTGTTGCTTTGGGCGTATGGACGTACAATATCATGGCAGGAACAAAAAATAAAATTTCAAAACAATAGAATAACAATGATTAATACATTGTGTAATGTTATCTCTAAATTAGTTACTCAGAATACAAGATACCAGCATTTAATTGTCCAAAAAATATTAGCACAAATCTTTCTTTTCAGTGAACTAAGAAAATTAGTAGTATAACTATCTTAATGATCTTTTATGTGTATACATATATTAAATTTAAATTTTTATTAGTACATATTTGCAGTGCATAATGAAAACTTAGCGGGAGTCAGTACATGCACATAACACATCTTAATTCTTTTTTCATTCTTACTCCTCTTTCTATCCGTGCTTCTTTCATTGCTTGCCCCCTTCCCATTTGAAAAAGATCTCTTTACTTGCTATCATAATTTTTTATTTTGGTCTTTACATTTTGGGTTTCTTGTATGAGAAGCCATACAGTATTTAAGCATGTGTGTTTAGGGTTTATTTCACTTAGTATTATCTTCTCAAGGTGTATCTGTATACCTACAAATGATTGAAGTTTGTCCTTTATAGTGGAGTAGTACTCCACTGTATAAAATACCACATTTGTGTTGATGGGTATGTAGGCTCTTTCTTTGTAGTCATAATAGTAAGACATTGAAAATGCCTGAAGTTAATGCAGATCAGTTAGACTGGCAGGTATACTGACTGGAGATGAGAACAAGAACAAACTGAATCCTTGGAGACAAAAGAGAACCTGCATCGGCCTCACAAATTCACACTTTTGGTGCAGTGGATGACCTGCAAGAGCGACACTCTTGACCCTGATACTTTTATTTTGTATCAGGAACTGAACTCAGGACCTTGCACTTGCCAGGCAGGCACTTATGCTGTTGAGCTATATCCCTGATAATCTTGACCTGATGCTCTTCACGCTGGAGTTGCATAAATAGACTCAGGATTTGGAGAAACTGAAAGGGAACTAAAGAAGCTGCTTCCTCTGGGCCAACAAGTGAGATAACAGATGAATGAGAAGACGTGGTGTCCCTGCACCAGCCACCAGACTGCTAGAAAACCATGACTGCTGCTTCATCTCTACTTCAGACCTCATACGTGATGTCCTGTCCCCAGTGCTACACGTAACTGTACTAGGAAGGGAATTCTGAAAACTATAACCCCAATTTTGCTGTGTTTACATTGTACAGAGCCACCAGAGCTTTGGCCGGTTGTTTTTGTTTTGTGACTCGGTTTCCACGGGCATAGAGAATGAGTTGAGAAATGTCACCTTGAGGTGTGCTTCCTCCCAGGGAAAGTAATCTTTCCGGGATGGTTTTGGAGCCGTTTTCTTTTTCTTGGCTCTGCTCTTATTTGCCAGCAGCCTCGCCAGATCTGAGTCAGCTGGCTGACTGCTTCCAGGGAGTTCTGCGTTTTTCTTGGAGACACTTCTGCTTGCTGTCTGCCTTTTGTGGATCACTATTTTCTCTTTGAATGAAGATTTCTTCCTCTTGGGAAAATTTGTGTTGCCACCCTGTCTTCAAGAAGATTGTTTTTTTGTTTTTTACCTTTAGTAAAAGTTAATGGTTTTCTTTACATACATTTTCTGTTTATTCCTTGAATTTTGAGTTTTGAATGTTCATTTTCCTATCTTTGTGATTTCTGATATACTGAAAATATATTTTAGTATTTCTTTCCAATTAGCCACACTTTACAACTTAAAACAGTTTTCAGTTGGTTCTCTTAGGCAATCATTTTAGCTGCAAACTAAAGTAGTTACCTTTTTTCCTTTTGGTAATATACTGATAAATTTCCTTTCCTTTCTTCCTCCTTCATTTCCCTTGTTCTACCTGTTCTCCTCAACTTTATTACACTGATTTAAACTGCCAGAACAATGTTGTAATGACTGTATTGTTCCTAACTTTTAAGGTAATGTTTTTAGATTTTCATCACACTGATTTCTAAATCAAGGGTTTCATGATTTTTGGTAAGCTAATGACTCAATGTTTAGTGAACCCTAAGAATTACCTGGCATTTAGACTTGCTAATAATGCAAATTCTCAGGGATAGATGTTTTACTAAATGCTTTTTAACTGCTATCCTTAACATGCAACACCTCATGTATATCAGATGCAGCATATACTAGTATTTCATTCATTTAATGAATGCTTAGCATTAAGTGCTGAGGATATAGGAGAGATCAAATTAGACAAAGTCCTTGGTCTTTGAGGTTTTGTTTTATCTTCTGAAATGTTTACAGAGAATAAGCACCTGAAAAATATACATGTCTTTTGACTCCAGTAGCATCATTGGTACCTTTGGTTAAGCTTAAGTTTTGGGGGGTTATATAGGCTATGCAGTTTTTCTTTTTAATTTGTTAAAAAGTAATAATTTATATTACATTGTGATTAGAGAATTTCACCCGCTTATTTCCACTTTTTGTTATTGTTTACCTTTTTTGGGGGGTACTGGGGATTGAACTCACAACCTCGTGCTTGCTCAGTGCTTACGCCACTCAGCTAAAGCCCCAGCCCCGTATTTCCACTTTTAATTTTTCTGAAAATTTTCTTGTGACTGAGGAAATGTATGGTTAACTTTTATAAATGTTTCATGGACATTTGAAAAGAATTTGTGTTTTTTATAGAATAAAAAGTTCTATATGTGACTATGAAATAAAATTTGTAAATATATTATTTGGAATATCTCTATGTTTTTTGACTACTTGATTTAATCTATATGTTATACTGCTGTACTGATAGGTGAACATCCTCATGTATAACTTCCGTAACCTTGTTACTATCATATGGATATTATGCTTTTAAACACTACATAGTCAATTCTGCTTTGCATTATGTTTGATATTAACATTACCACAGTTGCTTTATTTTGTTTGTGTTTTCTAGGCATATATTTTCTCATGTCTTCATTTTATATATTAAGATTTTTTGTCGCAGGTGTTTTCTTATGAACAGTATACAATGGATTTGAGACCTTTTGTCTCAGACTGAGTATCTCATGGAGAATTTTAACACGTTCACATTTATTATGGTATTTGGTTTTGATTTATTTGGATTTTGGGAGTGGGGGGAAGAAGAGGATAGGATTTCTTTCCTTTTTCCCCTTTTCTGTCTTTAATTCTGTTCAAGTGTTTTGTATTGTACCCATCCTCAGATTTAGAACTTTAATTCTTCAGTCTTACAACTCTTAAAATGGATGACTGCCACAAAAGCACCATAATTTAGCAAAGTCTGGAGTCCTACAGTTGTAAATCTTTTCTCTCAGACTCTGTAAATGTTTCTGTGCAAACACTTCTCTCTCCCTCTCCCTCTTTCTCTCTCCAGATAATTTTTGACTTGGAAATTCTAAGGATTTTCTGGTTATTTTGGAAATTTATTTTTTTCTTTCAGTACCCAACTCTCATCCTTTAGTTTTCTCCTAAGCCTTGGAAAAATTCTTTGAAAGTATTACGTGCTAATTTTGGCTTTTGGAGCATTAATTCTATATGCTTTGCTTTTGTTGACTTTTTATTTGGGCAGCCAGTCATTTCTTCTCCATAATCTCTTAATTTCGGGTTGCTCCTTTCCCATGGAAGCCTGCTGTTTTTATTATCAATGAAGCATATTTTCCTAACTTTTTTACATCTGATTGGAATATAATTAACAGTATACTTAAAACACACAATTTGATGAATTTTTATGTATGAAGCTGTGAGCACAGTCAAGATAATGAGAGTATCAGTGCCCCCAGTGTTTTATTTTGATGCTTCTCCTGACCCTAGTCAACCACTGATCTTCTTTATGTTAATACAGGTTAGTTCACATTGTCTAGAATTTTTTTTTTTTGGGGGGTACAGGGATCGAACTCACGACCTCGTGCTTGCGAGGTGGGCACTTATGCTGCTAAGCTAAATCCCCAGCCCCACATTTTATAGAATTTTATGTAAATGAAATCATATTATGTATTCTTTTTGTAAAAAAATTCTAAATGAAAACTTCAAACATTCAGAAAAGTAGAGAACAGTAAAATGAACTATACTGCTTCCACAGCCTGGATTTAACAATTACAACAGGCTTAATATGTGCAAGACCCTGAATTCCCCAGTACCACAAAAAAAAATTTAGTATGTTTCCAAATGTTTCATTTAATTTTTTAATTAACAGGAATGTTTTTTTTTTCTTTTTTTTAATCAGTAGACTTTATAAACCTGAGCAACAGGCTTAGGTTCATGGAGAAGTTGAGCCTACTTACAGGAAGTTCACGTACACTGTCTTTCTGCCTGCACATGCTTCCCCATTGTGATTGTTACTGTTACTTTTTGTGGTACTGAGATTGAACCTAGAGACTTGTGCATTCTAGGCAAGTGCTGTGTGACTCAGGTATATCCCAGCCCTTCAGTTTTATTACTATTATTAAGAAGTAGGTTTCTAAATTCCCCAGGCTGCCCCCTGCCTCCGTTCCTAAGCAGCTGGGATGATGGGACAAGCATTATAGTGCCAGGCTCTCCCTATTATTAATATTTGCATTAATGCGGTACTCATTATAATTAATGAACCAACACAGATACATTATTATTGACTAAAGTTCACAGTTTACATCAGGGTTGGTTTTCTGAATTGTATAGTTCTGTGAGGTTTTTTTTTTTTTTTCCTACCAGGGATCAAACTCACAACCTTGTGCTTAGTACCTGAGCTAAATCCCTGGCCCTTTCTGTGAGTTGTAAATATGTACTTTTTGTCTGTTTTGGTCTCTTTTATTTCTTATAATTGGGATTCATCCATGTTTTATGTACATTTTTTGTTTCCTTTTCCACATTCATTGTTCATTCACATATCTAATTTAGAGATAAGACAGCTGTCACAGGTTTTTGTATGCACCTGTACTTTCTCTTGAGAATATGTCAAAGAGTATGACTGGATCATATGGCAGGAATATGTTTAACTCTTGGAGAATTTGAAAAACCATTTTTCCAAGTGATCATGCCATTTCTCTTTGGCACTGGAGTATATGACAGTTGTAGTAGCTCCACATCTTTGTCAGCACTTAAGATTCTTAAATCTGTCTTTAAATCATTCAAATAAGTGTTTGATATCACATTTGTGGTTATAATTTGCATTTTTCTAATATTTATGTTGATGGTATTTTGTTTATATGTTAGCTATGTATATATCACCTTTAGTAAAGTGCTTTTTCAACTCTTCTGCCCATTTTTGTATTGGTTTGCTTGTTTTTCTATGATTGTGTTTTAGGAATTCTTGTTTTGGAAATAGCAGGAAGTATCAGGTATAAGCTTTGCAAATATGTTTTGTGGTGCCTTTTTCCATGTTTCTTTTTTTTTTTTTTTTTTTTTTTGGTCTTTTTGAGGCAGGATTTCACTGTGCTATTTATGCTGGCCTTGAACTCACTTTGTAGCCCAGGCTTGCCTCAGATTTGCTGTAATCCTCCTGCGTTGGCCTCCTGAGTGCTGGGTTTACGGGTGTGCACCATCATGGCTGACTTCTGTGGCTTATTTTCTTGAGTTGTCTTTAAAGAACCAAAGTGTAGATTTCCTGGTGTTCAATTTATCAAATTCTTAATAGATCAGAATTTTAATATTGTATCTAAGAACTCCGAATCACCCAAGGACACAGACAGTATTCTGTTAACTTTCCTTCCAGAAATTTTATAGTTCTGTTTTACATCTAAGTCTATGATTTATTGAGTTAATTTTTCCATACATAGTAAGTGATAGATTGAAGTTCATTTTTATGTTGTTTTCTTTTTTGAGGTACTTTTGTTTTTGTTTTGGTTTTGGTTTGGTTTGCTTTGGTCTTTTGATTCATTATATAGCCCAGGCTTGTGTCCCAGTCACTATGTAGCCCAGACTGGCTTCAAACTCAAACTTGCTGCAGTCTTTCTACCACTACAATCTTCCTGCCTCAGCCTCCTTAGTACTGGGATTACAGGCACAGGCCACCATATCCAGCTCTTGAAATTCATTGTTTTTGCATGTAGATAATGAGCACCATTGTTCGAAAAGAATACTCTTTCTCTGTTGACTTACCCTTGTATGTGTTGGTCATTTTCCCATCCCACTGATTTTGTTGTGTGGATTCCTTTACCATCTTTATACCAGTACCACACTGTCGTGATTACTGTAGCGTTATGATGATAAGACTTGAAGTCAGATAGTCTAAGTCTCCCATCTTAGTTTCTCTTTCTTCATTGTTGTTGTCTTAGGCTAGACCTTTTACACTTCTATATTAATTTTAGAATGTAAATAAATGAGCTGTGTAGGATTTTTATTGTAAAATGGAAGTTGAGTCACTTTTAATGAATCACTTATTTTTTTAGTCTCCAAATTAAAACCAAGTAATACTCAACAAAAATCTTCAAGTATCGCACAACATTGATAACTAACTGGACAAATAAATTCGATAGTCTTTGGCTGGTAAAGACCAAACAGAATTGTTCTTGTCTTTTACTATCAAGGCAACTAATGAATAGAGAATTTATGGAATTGGTTAGTGTTCATAACGGGAGAGTGAGTTGCAGGAAGTAGAGAAGCTCTGAGAACCTGAAATAAATTGGGCCTAAGGAGTGATGTCCTCATGATTCTCTTAGTGATTTTTTCTTTATGATACTCTGGGATTTTATTTTTCTAGGCTGTTTCATATATTGGAGTCTGTAGCCTGCAAGAAACCCAACTTTCCTCAACAGCTGTACTTAGAGAAGTTCTAAAAAGGAATAAGTGTGATAGGCCCAATTTGGGTGATCTTCATCACTTCCTTAGTCACTGTTATAGGGAGACAGGAAACTCTAGAGCATCCAAAGTGTAGGCATTTTGATAAGCAATGTTCCCAAAGGAAGTAGACACTGTCAGAAAATTGGAAGTTGTCACTGAGTAGAGACACAATGGATACCTGCAACACAGTGGACATGGTACCTTGAGGTAACAGATCAGTCAGTAGGCTTTGTGACGTTCCCCTCATACTGTTCAAACTGTTCCCACAGGTTTAACTTACCTCCCTTGGGTCACTTGCCATATTGTATATGACATGTAAGAGATGCTAGTTTGTATCACTTGGTTTTATTTTTGGAAATTATCAATGATATTGTTTTATTAAATATTACATGGCCCCCTATAATCTTCATTAATAATTTTCTCTTCCATTTCAGGTACTAAGAATGAAAGCAAACAAGAAGAGATTGTGTCTAATGGCTTTCAGTATTTACTGACATATTGCTTATGATGGCATCTGAGGCTGAGAAGACTCATGCCTTACTCCAGTCTTGTAGCGCTGAATCTCTTCTCTCCAGCTTTGGTCTGGGGATATTTTGCCTAGTAGCTGAAAGACTTCTTCAGTTTCCCGTAATTCAGCGAAGTGACTGGCTCCGCGCCCTGTCGGATAATGCAGTACATTGCGTCATTGGGATGTGGTCATGGGCAATAGTCATTGGAGTGAAGAAGAAGACTGACTTTGGAGAAGTAATTTTAGCTGGAATTTTGGCCTCTGTTATCGATTTAGACCACTTTTTTGTAGCTAGATCCTTCTCTTTAAAGGTAAGAAGCATGTATGTTTAATTTTTCTTTATTAGGAGCAACAGTTATTTCAGCTGCCTTGTTTCTTTTTTGTTTTTGTTTTTAGTACCGGGGATCGGGATTGAACTCACCACCTCGCCCTTACAAAGCAGGCGCTTATGCCTCTGAGCTAAAAATCCCTGGCCCTCTAATTTTTTAATTGCTTGATCTCTTTTTTTCCTCAGAATATACAATATTATGTATGACTTTTACACTTATGTCTCTACTGTTATTTTTCATCTTTTATATATACTTGAATATATTAATGCTCATTGTCAATCTTTATGTTCAGGTTTTCATAGTAATTTCTTGATTGAAACTTACAGATTCCTTAAGAAGGTTACAAAATTTTCTATGAGCTCTTGCCTGTTTATTACCCTTATTAGAACTGTATAATTATTACTTGAATTATAATTGTAATACCCTTGATACTTAAAAAAGAGCTTGGCTAAATATAAAATCCTTGGCTTGCAGTTTCTTTTCTTGATGACTTTAAAAATGGGTCTTTGGGGGCTGGGGATTTAGCTCAGCGGCCTAAGTGCCTGCCTCGTGAGTTCGATCCCCGGTACTGGTAAAAAGGAAAAAGAAAAGAAAAAAAAAAAAAAATGGGTCTTTGTTCCTTTTTTTTTGGTTTTTGTTCTTGTTTTTTATTGTTTTTGAGAAACTTGATGTTAGTTTAATAAACTTGCCTTATATATTTTATTTTTTTGCTTGGAGGCCTTAATCATTTTTCATTTATATTAATAGTTTTACTAAACGGTCTTGAAGTTTATCAGAGTGAATTTTTAAATTTGGACTCAATATGTAGACTCAAGCCTTTTTATTTTCTGAGTTTTCTTTTGAGTATAGCTTTGTGGTTTGTTTTTTGGGTTTTTTTTTTGGTTTTTTTTTTTTTGAAGGTAGTAAAATACAACAAAACAAAACAGAACAAAGCCAATCAAAACAATGCAGTGAATTTGGTACAGAACTTCAGGGCAGGATACCAGAATAACAGTAATAGGCTCCATAGTATATCTTGTTATCTTCACTATCTTCAATAGTTGTCCATTCAATCAGGTATAGCAAAATCAAACCAAAAGCAGAACACTATAAAAGCTATCAAAGCAGAATATTGAATAGAGCAAGGCTATTGATAAGAACAGAGCAAAACAGTGAAAACAATATTTGCCTTTAAGGAGAAGACAGAAGGAACCCCCCCACATCTGCAATATTGCATACTGTCATCCCCCCAAGAGATGCTCAGACCTCTGGCCCCAGGTCAGCATAATCAACCCACCAATACAAGCATTTAGTTGCTTTCTGTGCCTTAGCTGCTATCAACTCCAGCTGTCCCGGGGATGGGAATGGGACATTTGAATCTTAGCCTGTGTGCTGGGTAGGCTCACAGCAAACGCTGACTTGTTCTCGTCCTGGCCCGCCCGCTCGCTGCTCATTGGGCCACTGCTTACTAGGAGGAAGGTCTTGTTGCTCTCTTGTTCAGCTCCCCAAGTCCCGACATGGCTGGATCTCGGGAAACGCTGGCTTGTCCTCTTCCTGGCATGCCTGCTGCTCGCTCGCCTGAGGACAGCTTTGAAAACTACTGCTATCCCATTCTTTTGTTTTTGTTCTTTAGGGATTCCAGTTATACATGTTGTATCTTTTTTGCCTGTCTTCCATTTCAGCAGTGCTTTCCCTGTTTTTTCATTTTTGTAGTTTTAGTTGTTTTCCTGTGGCTTTTCAGTATGTGCATTTAAACTGTTGTTCCTTAAGGACACTGCAACAATAGCCATTTATTAGACTATTTTTATCTTTGTCTCTATTCTGAGTTTAATTAATTATGCTTAGTTTTGTTTTTGTTTGTTCATGTTTTTTAGTACTGGAAATTGAACCAGGAATGCACGTAGCTACATCCACAGCCCTTTTTATTTTGAGACAGCATTTTGCTAAGTTACCCAGGCTAGACTCAAACTTGGAATCCTCCTACTTCTTTGTACACTCTTAAAGTATGTTTAATATATGTAGGAGTCTTGTATACAGTTTTCTTGTATTTTGTGTAGTTTTTGTTATTTTGTATTCCTTTGTTTATAAGAATGGCATTAAAGAGCTGAAGGGTTTTTATTCTGTTTTCCTCCTACACTAGCTTTATATAGATTAGGTCTGTGTCTTCACTTCAAGATATTACATGAATCCTTTTTTAGAGATAGTCTTTGTTAAGGGAATGCTAGCAAAAGGATTGATGCTGATCATAATTATTGTATATATATAGTTTAAAAGCAAAAGTGGGGACAAGCAGAACAATAATACAGGAATATTATATAGTCTAATGGGGAAAAAGGGAGAAAAGAAGTGTAGAATAAACTCTTTGATGTTGTCAGTAGGTGAGCATAAAGGATACTAGTTTGATGGGAATGACTCTATAAGATTTGTAGTAAATGGTAATCTGCTTTGACAGTGTGTCAGTGTCTCTATTAGATGACTTTCTTTTTTAACGTGGTGGGAACACTATGTGTCCAGATTTTTTGTCCTTTTTTGGTGGGTGGAGGGTCTGGAAACTAAATTTTTTCTTTCACTGTTTTTTCCTTTATCTCCAAAAGGCACCTTTCCTTCCCTTTACCATCTTTTCTAGAATCCATGCATTCAAAGCCTTCAGTCATGCACACCCTCTAAGTCCTTCCTCTGTAGTCTACCAGGATTATTTCCAGGTCCTCACAGTTAGACTGAACTTCCTGTTTCTGGGGCTTTTCATATCCATTTTGTCTTGTCTCTTGAGCACAGTTTTAACTAGCTTGTGCAAGATAGTGCAAGAGCTTGAGAGCTCAGTGTTTAGTGTTGGTTTCAATACTTACAGATAATTGGAAGTGTGAACATTCTTTGATTTCTAGCTAGTCTGAGGGTTTGGGAATTTGTGTAGTTTTTCATGTCTGTCTTATTCTGTAAGTTTTTGGAAGCTATGTAGAGAGAGTCAGATTTAAAAGATCATCACTATCCTCACTTCTCCCCCCCCCATTGATTTCCTTCCCTTTGTTTTCCCTCACTCCTCCTTCCTTCCTTCTTTCCATTCATTCATCCTTCCTTTTTATACTCAAACTCAGGACCCTCACACTGAACTACATCCTCAGCCCTTCTGTATTTTGAGGCAGGGTCATGTAAGTTGCCCAGGCCTCAGCCCCCCAGATGGCTGCTATTACAGACATGTACACCCTGCAGCCAGCTTCTTAGCTTTCTTTTTGTTACGAATTATCTCCCTGCAAATTAGCCTTTAAAGTGGGAACAAAATCTGATGGACCATTCAAAGGTTAAGCAAAATTTCAGTTTCTTCAAGTATTAATTATATTTTTTGCAATGATTTTAAAATGCTTTTTAAAAAGTTAATGAAATTTCTTAATTTTATGGAATTAATCAAAGAATATTTTCCTGGTTATGAGTTTTTCCTAATGCTCTTAGAAGTCCCAGAAAATTCTTTAAAAATAAAATTTACAGGAGGTAGCTGGAATTGAGAAAGGATGTTTAATAAGCATATGGTTACAATTCAATAACTTACAATGTTCCACATATCACAGTACAGTGGTGGCTGACGGAAATTAATTGTGTATTTCAAAATGAATGTTTCTAGCACAAAGAAATGGTAAATGTTTAAGGTGATGGATGTGCCATTGACCCTCATCTGTCCATCACATGTTGTATACATGTATTGAAATGTCACACTTACCTCATAAATATGTAGAATTGTATATTAAACACATAAAAAATTTCAAATTACATACACCATATATTTAGAGTATAAATAATGATCATGTTGTGAGAAACTTAAAAATTATTTCATTTTCCAATGAAAGAATATCCTGCTTATAGTTTTATCTTTTTTGCTTTATAGTTTTGGTGCACTATCCATATTCTGAGATAGTATGTTCCTTACATTTCCAGTAAACTCTTGATATATATCAAAACATTAAGAATCAGTTATGAATTATTTTTCCAAAAAGAAAATAATACCACCTCCTGCCTCTTCCTGTCTCCTACCAGGCTGCTCTGACTCTTCCACGAAGACCCTTCCTTCACTGTTCCACTGTGATTCCTGTTGTGGCTCTGACCCTGAAGTTTGCTATGCATCTTTTCAAGCTCAGAGACTCATGGTGCTTTCTTCCCTGGATGTTATTTATATCTTGGACCTCACATCATATACGAGATGGAATTCGTCATGGCTTATGGATATGCCCATTTGGAAAGACTTCTCCTGTGCCATTCTGGCTTTATATAATAATCACATCATCTTTACCTCATGTCTGTTCATTCATTATGTATCTAACAGGGACCAGACAAAAGCTGTCTTCAAAATATGGAATTCGTATTGATGTCTGAAGTAACTGTATGACTCTTGGAGAAGCACATGTTTCAGGGATGATAATAAAGGGTAGACACATTACAACAAATTTTTAAAATCAAAGTTAGTTATATTTTTGATTTTTATGATTCCTGATTCCTCGTGGCTCAGGAAACAGGTGTAATTTTTAAATTATACTTGTTACACATCTACTTCTCTTCTGTGTCACTCTGGTACAGTATTAGACTTTCACTTATTCTATGACATATTTTCATTACTATTTGTGTTTAACTGGTGTTACTAATAACATAGTTATTAGTATTAGTATTTGTTAGATTAGCATCCAGTTAGTTGTCTGGGGACATACATGGAAGTCCATTTCCTGATGAAAAGCTCAAATTTTAGTATGTATAATTTATCGAAAATTAGTGCTGTATTGTATCCACATTTTTATGACACATGAAACAGTAAAATGGCCAACGTAACAGAAATCATAAATAAGATGTATAGTAAGGGCTAACATATATTCGTTTAATTTATATTGATCCTGACTGAATTTAATTTGCAAAGTACTTCATGGGTTACTGACAAAATCTACATCAGAGTACTTGCAAAGTATATTCATAAAATATTGTAATCAACATTAGTTCTAGGTTATGATTCCAAAAATCAATTTAGGAAATGATTATAATGTTGGCTATAGCTAATTTTACTGAAGTTGCATTTTTTAAGTATCTTTGCCCAAGAACTTCATGTTGGTGTTTTAACTTTTAAAAAATAAATTTAAAAAAATATTTTTTACAAATAGCATTAACAAAATATTGATACTTGAACTTGAGTTCACACAAAAAGTAATGATCAGTAATATCATTTGAAATGTAAACTCCAGATTGTGCCATTGAAACTGTTTTAGTTGCTGTTAGTTTGTTTACATTGTTCTAAAATATTGTACCAGTTAAGTCATTTTTAAAAGTCCTCCTCATACTGAGATACAAAGCATATTTTTTTCAAAATAGTTAGAATTAGGAAAAAGTCTTTGTTTTTTCCCTTGTTCTTTCAGATTGACCACCTGTTAAAATAATTAAACTTTATTAGACAAGGAAAAGTAAATTGCTGTAAACTACAAGTTCTTTGTCACTCTGGTACTGAAGTCAGTGCCCTAAGCGCCTGGCCATTTGTTGTCTTCAGATTTTCTGACAGGTCTGTGGTTTACAATGCTAGTGACTGTATTCCTTCTTCCTTAAGAAGTGATGATGGATGGTTCCAGAAGCAGTGCCTTACCCAGCACAGATTCTTCTTACACATTAAGGTAAGCAGAGTTCTAGGGCTGGGGATACAGCTCAGTGGCACACTGCCTGCCTGGCAAGGATCAGGTCTTGAGTTTGATTACTAGTACCAAAAAAACCCTCACAATTAAACAGTTCTATACATTGTTAGGAAGATTCAAGTTCTTTAGAGAATTATCTTTATTTTTACTGTTAAATTGATTACAATCAGTTATGGATTAGTTAAATATTAGAATCTCAGTTTTCTTTTTTTTTTCTTTTTTTCTTTTTTTTGGTACCCGGGATTGAACTCACACCCTTGTGCTTGCCAAGCAGGCACTTTGCCTCTGAGCTAAATCCCAGGCCCCTAATCTCAGTTTTCAAGAGTGGTAATTATATAATTCTGGTTAATATAGTAGTAAAAAATTATATAATGGAGGCAAATTTAATTAGAAAATTTTTGAAGCATCTGATTTAACAAGTTCATAAAAATAAATTCAATGTCTTGTGTAACTTTGGGGGGGGGGTGGTACCAGGCAGGTGCTTATGTAGTTCAGGCTGGCCTCAAACTCACAACCACAGACGTGCCAGGCAGGTGCTTATGCCTGGCCCTTGTGTAACTTTTTTGAAGTTACAAAACCTTTTTCTAAAGCCAGTGTGGTGGCACACGCCTGTAATCCCAGCTGAGGCAGAAAAGATCGCTGTGAATTTGAGGCCAACCTGAACTACATAGTGAGACCCTGTGTCAAGTCAAAAAAGAAACAAAAGCTCCACCTTTTTTCTATTTTTTTCTTTCTCCAAACAAAAGAATAATGTTCAAACAGAGGGCCACATTGGCATTTTGGGGGTTGTCCAACTTTCCTTTAGTAGAGTAGAAATTTACTTTTACTGTAACTACTGGTTGAAACAGTAATTACAAACTTTATGTGTGAGTTTATCTCAGTTCCTACCTTAACTGTGTTCCCTTGAAAGCTGTGCTTGGAACATCTAGTAAACCAGTAACCAACATCCTATGCCACTACTTTGTTTTTGCTCACAGTAAAACATCATTATGTATCCATGCAACGTAATATTTGAAGGTTGTATTTATTTTGTCTGTCTGTTTGCTCCATCATCTAGGCATCTTCGATTTACTTAGTGTTTCTCTCTTGACTGACTAGTCAACTTCCAGTTTACTGTTTTCTTGAGCTGTGATGTTCCTGCTAGGTTTGAAAAGATCTCCACCACTGAACTATTTCTGTGCTCATCTCCAAGTGAGGCCACCTGTAACAAGTAAGTTTTCAGAACTGGCCTAGAGAAGGAGTTCTGACCACAGGATGACTAAGGTGAACCTTAGACCTCAGGCTCCCATACTTTCTGTGTTAGGAGTTTCGGTGGGTGGACTTGGAGTTTCCTAGGGCTACAGAATGATGAATTTGATCCCCTATACCTCCCTCCAAAGCTTTCTGTATTCTATTGCAAAGAAAACAGGTTTTTTTTCCCATTCCATATTATCTGTATGCAAAAAATCTCATTATAATGTAACAGAACTGTAAAATTCAGACATCTTGCATGATTTTATGGCAACTAGGCAAACATCAGGAAGATAAAGTAGGTAATATTCAAAACCCTGGATAGGAAGTTCTGTAAAAACGTTTGAACATAACTACCATCTGTATTTTAAGTGCCATGGCCTTGTAAGCATGAATAAAGGAGTAAATTGTGCTATAAAATACTCCCTAAGGGGAAAACTTTCACATAATTATGTCAGATAATGAAGCAGTAGAATGAAAATCCAATGATTCTGTGTAGCCTACAGATTAGATTGAGCAGTCTTCTGCTGTGTGGCAGGTAGGAACAGATCAGTCTGATGCTGATGTGGGTCTCACGCTGACTTTAGCTATGCTAAGCCAACGCTTTTGAGAATTGTGCTTCTTTGTGCCCAGCTGTGTGCAGCTGGCTCTTACTGGAAATGTACAGAGTAGAAAGTAACTGTGCATCATTTGGCAGGCAGTAGCCATTGCTTTATATATTCTCATACCTCTGTTACGTGCCATTGTATAGGACAAAGGAGCATTTAATAGGATTTTTAACGTCATGTTATGTGATCCCTGTTTATTGAGTGGGAAACAGCACATCTGGCTAGTCAATAGCATATGTGTCGAGTGGGCAGACAAATTTCCATTTGTTTTCCTATGGTTTCTTTGGGCCCAAACATGATTTTAGGGAAAAAAAAAAAAAATGTTGGTCTAAATTTTATTGATAGAGGCCAGCCTAAACTATACAGTGAAACCTGTCTCAAAAACAAAACAAAAAAGTTGATTTTGATATCTTTTTTAATATATATACTGGGACTAGAACAGAGGAGTCCACACTTGCCAGGCAGGAGCTATACCACTGAACTACATTCCCAGCCCTTGATGTCCTTTTAGAATGAGATTAGGGCCGGGGATTTAGCTCAGTGGCATGAGCGCCTGCCTGTCAAGCATGACATCGTGAGTTCAATCCCTGGTTCCAAAAAAATTAAAAAATTAAAAGATTAGGTATATTCTGTGACTACAGTACTTTTTACCTCTTAGTTACATCAAGAAATGCTTATTTCTGATTACTGAAAAGTATTACAATCATTGTTGTAAGTTATAGAAATAATCTACTTAATTAGAAATCCCAAGACCTTCAGTTTAACTAAAATGCAAAACATAATAACAGTGAGGTTTTTTTCGTGGTGGCATTAGTAGCAGAGGTATTTTGGATACCATTCAGCAGATTTTGAAAAGATTCATGATACTTAGTGTTGGCAGGAGGTATAAGGAAATGGGCATCATTGAATGGAATGGTAAATTCACACTTCATTGCCAGAGGAAATCTGGCAATGTGTTTTAAAAGTGCAAGCTGTTTTACTCAGAAATGTTCATTTTAGGAATTTAAGGAACAGGTAGGTACATACAGGAGGGATTTTTGTTGGTTACCTAAGAGGGCAAAAACAACAAAACTGGAAGTTATTTAATAGTGGAATACTAGTGCCCAAAGCATTGTAATGGATGAGAAAGATTCATGCAATGGTGTACAGAAATGTCTTCATGAAGTAAACAAAAGCAGTAATAGTATAGCATGATTCCATTTTTGTAAAACAGGCATATATGTGAGTAGATGTGTCAAAAACACTTTTGAAACCTAGCTATCAAGCAGCTGACGGTTGTCTGTAGATCTGAGGGGTAGGGATGTGGTAAAGAGGAACTTCTTACACTCTATATTTATTTTTCGTGTTTCACAATAAGCATGTGTGCTTTTGTATTAAATATGTTTCCTTTCTATCCTCAGTTCTCATGTTAAGGAGCAGGTTTGGCCTGACATTAGCGCCTGATTCACACGCACCTTGGACAGATGCTGATTGTCCTGGTGGGGCAGGGAACTGTCAGTAAGCCACACTATTTCCACGTCGGGTTCTGCAGCTCTATTAGACCCAAGAACTATCTCTATCATTTATTATTTCATCAGACTCCAGCAGTATACCAACATCTGCCTCAAGCCAAGAAGTTCACACCAATTTCCCTGAAATGAGAAGCCCCTATTAATACCAGTCTTGAAAGTAAATTTGCACTTTGCATGAATCCAAGACATTATCATCCACATTACCTTGGCATTTCTAATAATAGTGAAAGGGATTATGAAGCATTTTACTTGTTCCACCCATATTACATGCAATGAGTTAGCTGAGTTACTCAGCAGCACTAACTGATGTTACTTCAAGGTCTGGAGATCCCAGTCCCCTCCACCTAACAATTGCCCTAGCAGGAGGGGAATGTCAGATTAGAGTCCTAGCACACACTGAGATCCTCCACAAAGAAAACTGGATTCACACACACTCGTTCCTGACTTAATTTGAGCACCATTCAAAAATTTTTTTTTATTTAAGAGGAAAAAGAGAAAAACACAAAACAGAACAAAGCGGTGTAAGGGTACACGTAATACAGAACTACAAAAAAAAAAAAAATAACAGTAAGAAATCACCTGTTAATAGATTACATATTATCATCTTGAAAATAGTTGCTCAAATCACAGTATCAAAGAAATACAAGGTGGACATTCAAGCAGGGAGACTGCAAACAGCTGTGTTCAATGATCCAAAAACATTAATATAGTCAGCTATTTAACACCCTTAAACACACTTGCTGTTATATCCGTTAGAGCTCTTTTTCTTTTTTTTTTTTTCCCTCTCTTTTTTACAACAAAATTTACACATTTTGGATTTTATTACTCCTTAGGAGCACCATTCAAATTAACTTGAGCAGAAGGAGAAAGTGTTCTCTGATTAATGCTGAATAAAGTTAAGAATGGGCAGTAGTGGTGACATAAACTGTACACATGGAATGACAGTGGTACAGTACTTATGAGAAACTGTAAGGGCCCCTGTATGTGCAGAGACCCTATTTATCTTGAAGAGCCATGTGTAAATACCATGTGTAAACTCAAAAATCAGTTTTGAATCTAGAGTAATCCAGGAGAGAACAGCTCTATTCTTGTGCAATCTAACCTCCACAAAATGTGACTTGGAGCCTGGGCCAGTCTTTTTGGAAAGGGTCCCTCCCTTGCTAGGATGTGACATTCACAGCACAGCTCTGCAGACCCTGTGCTTCATGTCAGTTCCGGTGACACTCAAGGGATCTTCAAAAATTCTACAAAAGGCTGAGAAGAAAGTATGTCTACTAAATGTGTTAAAGGATTATAAAGTATAATGCATCTGTGTATAGCCTATATTTTCCTTTGCTGCTGTAATAAATTACTACAAACTTAGTAGTTTAAAGCAAGACAAATGTATTATCTTATAGTTCTTTATGTCGGAAATCCATTATAAGTCTCACTAGGGCAAAATCAGCAGGCTCATGTTCCACCTGAAGCCTGTAGGGGAAAATGGGTGTCTTTTTCAGCTTCTAGATGCTAGCTGTGTCACAGACAGTGTTTATGTCCCCTACAATTCCTACATTGCACCCTAATCCCCACTGTGACAGCATTTAAAGGTGGTCCTTCAGAAAGTGACTAGGTCATGAGGGGTTATCTATTTTAGTTACAGTAGACTTGTAATATATTTTAACATTCACAAAAGCTAGTCACTCCTTGCTTTCTTTATTCAGAATTTCTTGAGGGCATTATTTTTATTTTTATTTTTATTAGCATGAAATACTGTTCTGCTCCATAATTCTCTATTTACTGATCTTATGCAAGTGAATCTTAGCATCATCATAGTAAAGAGGATTAAGGTGCTAACAATGAATTTGTATTATCCATAAGTCTGGAAAGGATGAATGCTCTTTAAAAAAAAAATACATGTAAGTTGGGAAAGGAAGGAATAAGTTCTGTGAGAGGGAAATTCCCTGCTTTAGCTCCAGGTTCAAACTTTGCTCCCACTGAATAGTCCTGCATTCTTTCTTCTGTTGACTTTGGCATTTCTGATGTTCTGCCCAGACATCACATTTAATTAGATTGTAAACCATAAAACACAGTCCATCTGGCTTGGCACTAACCCTCCTCATATTTGTTTTCAGTATAGTGTAGAAAACCCTTTCTCAGAAATAAAAAATTTAAATTATTATTACCAAGTAGGCAACAGATCTATAGAAGAGGCCAAATAGCAACTATAGACCTTTAGGACCACAATGGCACAGTTTTATTCTTGTAATGAAGACCTATTTATTCGAGTTATCCAATTTATTACTCATTCAACAAACTCTGAGCATCCACTATTTGCAGAGCACTGAGCTCAACACGAGGTAACAGGGTAACAATGACTAGGATACAGACCGGCCTTGCTGAGCCCAATCAATTAGAGACAATGATAGTACTGTGAGTCAAATTGGTACTATCTATTAAAAAGTGACTTAAATGAGCATACCCTTTGAGGATTTTTCATTTTTAATAATTTACTTAAGTTACTAAAGTAAGTGGACAAAAGATACACAATTTATGATAGCACTTCTGTAATAATAAACCAGCAGATCTGGGGCTCTAGCTCAGTGTTTGTCTAGTGCTTGAAGCCTGAGTTGGTTCCCAGCCCCACACCAATCAATCAGTAATAACAAAAAGCACCAGAAAA